AAATTAAGATTCATAATTAAACTCAGATCTGAAGAGTGTAGTTAGGTAAGGTAAGTAAGGTAGTATAAAAGGATAAAGGTACAAGGGTAGGTATCTAAATTCGTTCTCAGGGGGGGGGGTCTATGGGGCTCAACACCCCCCCTTACCCCTAAAAATAGTAAAATTCATTAGTTTCCAGCCTTCAGGGGTTTCCTCCAGCTTTGGTCTTATGTATACTTACAGGCACATAGGCATGCAGGTAAAGGTTGGAAGTCTTAAAAAATAGAGGAAGTCTGATATTAGGTAATTAAAGAGGGCTATTTCGTTTTTTTCATTTCGTTTGTTAATCGTTTGTAAACAATCCATTTTGTTCGTTTTTTCGATTGTATAAGAATAGTTGATTTCGTTTTTATCTCAAAAGTTTCGTTCATTTTCTTACATAACACTTGTTCAGTAAAATTGTTCATTCTATGAAATATTTCGTTCTGTAAAAAAACAGTAGTTTTAAAAAGTTTTTATTATAAAAATTGTTTACAACAAATTTCGTTGGTTCTCAAAAACGTTGTCATCTCTAAAAGTAGTTTGGTTGTTAGATAGACAATTGAGAATATGATGAAATGGCTTAACCCCTGACACTTCCATTTATACATTCATGTCCTGGTGAAATGGGATTTATGTTCCAGCAGATAAATATCTTTACATATTCATCTTTTTAACTTTACATATCATTTAAAATAGAATTAAGGTTTAAGGCATATATTTTCAATTTCTTTTCCTAAATGGATAAAATGTGAATAAAAGTTTGATCTTCTAGTGAAGATTGCAATGAGATTATACTGTTCTTTAAGTTTAAGCATTTTCATCATTTATCATATTCCTTGCTCTTTAGAACAGAATATACTAAAGAAATGGCTCACATGAGTTCCATGACAATACACACATTTTAATTTTTGAAACTGCAATAAATGTGCTACTTGAAATGACTGTAATCCCTATTTCAATTGATAGTGTGGAATGTGACCTTCAATTGATAGAGTGGAATGTGACCTTCAATTGATGGTGTGGAATGTGACCTTACATTGAAAGTGTGGAATGTGACCTCCGATTGATAGTGTGGAATGTGACCTTCAATTGATAGTGTGGAATGTGACCTCAAATTAATAGTGTGGAATGTGAACTTCAATTGAAAGTGTGGAATGTGACCTCCGATTGATAGTGTGGAATGTGACCTTGAATTGATAGTGTGAAATGTGATCTTTAATTGATAGTGTGGAATGTGACCTTCAATTGATAGTGTGGAATGTGACCTTCAATTGATAGTTTGGAATGTCACCTTCAATTAATAGTTTGAAATGTCACCTTCAATTGATAGTGTGGAATATGACCTTGAATTAATAGTGTGAAATGTCACCTTCAATTGATAGTGTGGAATGTGACCTCCAATTGATAGTGTGGAATGTGACCTCCAATTGATAGTGTGGAATGTGGCCTCCGATTGATAGTTTGATTTGTGACCTTTAATTGATAGTGTGGAATGTGACCTTCAGTTGATAGTGTGGAATGTCTTATTTGCACAGATGTTTCTCATCAAGTATGATTTATGAATTTTATTTTCATGTTTTTTTTTATCTTCATTTGTGTTTTTGATTATTTTTTTCTTCAGAAAAATGGAGAAATTATTAGAATTTCACAAATCACAATCTTTAAAATTATTGTTTAATGGTTTAAAGGGTATTGTTGTGATTAGAGAATTCATCTCTTAAAATTACGACTGTCTCTTTAATTTATTGCAATGTTTATTGAAAGGAAATCCGCGAAAATATTGAAAAATCGTCTATGAGTTTTTTAGTGCACACACAACCGACGTGTGTCTCTTTTTCACGCTTCCCCCCCCCCCCAAAAAAAATATAATGAAATTTGCAAACTTTTTTTTACTGTATGAAGAAAAAATGTTCACAAATAAAAGTTGAAATAGAATAGTGTCTGTGTTATCCCAATATTATTATATAATACTGAATAAAAGAGTAGTGGAGAATTAAAACAAATATATTCACATAATTTTCTAATAAAGACAAGATATCTTGGCTCATCTTCAAGAGTTACCATTCAACCAACAAACAAATTCTTCTCTTCTCACAAAATATATAAAAAATATAATATTTTCTGAGAAAAGGAGAGAATTTTACAATCCATTGAACTAAATTTATTGGCTTGTCTACAAACAAAATTTACAAATATATATAATAATAATAGTAAGTTTATTTTTCGGTGAACCTATCTTTAGTTATTCTAAAATGTTGAAGACCAGGGGGCTCAGCGAGCAATAGCTGTAGTGCCAAGAACTGCCTTGTAACATATATATGAAACATAAATAAACAATCTGCATTTTAACTACCATTTTAATTTCTAAATATATTTTTTCGGTTTTTCTTCACTTTACAAAATTGTATTTTTAAGAGCTTAAAAGTTTGATGAAAACCTAAAAATATGTATATTTTCGTGAATTTCATAACAAATAATTTGTTTTTGGTTTTTATTTTACAAATTTTTAAGTATTTTACGGTTTTTTCTTTTCTTCAAATATTGTATTTTTTAAAGTTGATAAGTTTAATGTAAATCTAAAAATACATATTTTCGAAAGTTTTATGCCAACTAATGTTTTTAAGTGCAGTTGATGTTTAACAGATATTAATTACGTAATTGTTGAAGATACAGTCAGGACTCAGGATGCATGTATGAATGTTGATTTAGATGGATACAGAGGAATGAATGATAATGGTGTGAATTTGTGTAGAAGTATATTGGATTGGATTGAAATTATTTGAAATTTTGGTTTTAGACCTTGAATAGGCCTTAAAAATAAGCATTTTCTTCAAACCTAAATTTACGCATAGGAAAACCCTAAAAATTCTTGGTTCATTGGAATTTCTAGTTATTTTACATACGCATTTTTACGTTTGTCATATTTTTACGGATGTAAAAATGTATTTTTACCACGAAAATGGTTACGAAAATACGTATGTCATACAGATTTATAGGTTTTCCGATTAGTAGGGTTGCTACTATAATTCCAACTATTTGATGTAGAAAATTCGATGTAAATCTTTATTCTCGTTGACTGCCAAAAAATAAAATAAAATATTCTAAATATTTAAAAGCTTGTAATTGGCATACAAAATTATGAACAATTAATTGCGTTTTTTCCATTTTCACTATCATAATATTGTACAATTTTTGAAAAGGATAGTTTTTTTTACTTTTTACATATATGTCTTTTAGACGTTATTTATTTTTAAATTATCTTGAATCCATCAGACCATTGTATAGCTTATCGACAACCTTGAGAATAATAAAGGAAAATTTCAATACCAAAATGTAGAAGGGGAGAGATATCAGAAGGAAGGCTTTAAACATTTAATCTTGAAAGGGAGGAGGCATCAGTGAATTTTAAAAGTGCAAGAAGCAAATCCCCCCCCCCCCATCTTCTTTATAGAGATTGGTTTCGTTGTGAACGAATTTTTTTTTGAGAAAAATCGAAATTTTTTGTGGATGATGGTGTTCAAGAAAAAAAAGAATCGTTTAGTGATGAAAAAAACAATCATTTGTAAAACAAACGAAAAAAAGAGAAAAATTAATTGAAAAAACGATTTGTTTGAACGAACGATTTTACTAAACTAGCGATTTTTCCCAATGATCATATACTGAGAAAACGAACGAAATAGATTGAAAATTAACAATAATTTTAAGAACAAACGAAGTCATTTTTTTTGAACGATTAAAAATAAGAACGAGATGTGTTATTCACGAACGATGAAAGAACAAAATGAAAAAAGTCCATCTCTACCCCTCTAATATATTTATACAAGCAAATTTTACCCCGCAAAATTTATAACTTTTATACCAAAATTAACTTGACATGAGTCTGCTAGTTTTATTGAATAATATTGTTTGATAATTTATTTATTTTATTCAGATTATTATTTATCACAGTCAATAATGAATATTGATATCTAACATTGATCACATATTTTTACTATTTCATTTTCTACAAATGTATTCTTAATTTGTGAAACTTTTAGTTTTTAAGTATTTGTACAAATTAATATTTTCAGGAGCAAAATTAGGTGGTTACCCTTTTCCAAGATTTATTCTAGATTCAACAAATTGTGAATTAAGAAGCAAAAGTATTTTTTTCTTTGTAATTAAAGTATCTAAATGATGGTTTAACAAAATAACAGGCATGAAAAATATGAAATAAACAAGAAAAAACATTATTTTTTTACAAAATATTACATTTAAAAAACTAGATTTTACTTATCTTTTGTTTAAAAAAACCAGAATGTAAATGAGTATTGTAATGTCGTCTTAAACCACTAAAAAGTACTTTTTAATTGAAAGACGACTAATTTCAGCTGGGTGGAGGAAGGCCAGCTTCAACAATTTCTCGTCCGAGCCACATTCTCCTCATTTTCTCATACGAGACACCTCAGAATCCTCGTCATCTGATTATTATGTATTAAAAAGTATCTGCAGCTTTCAAAAATAAAACTATATATTAAAAATCTGGCCACGTTAGTGCATAAAATATGGATGGAATATTGTATTGCAATGATTACATCATGTTGGAATCTTCAAACCCATGAGAATGATGTCAAACTTTATTAAGGTAATACTTAAATCTCTTCTGCCTCCGTAATGGCTAACCTTCGCGGTGTAAAATAAATAGCAAAATATTTAGAATACCTCTGCCGATCATTTTCCCATATAACCACACGGAAAAATTCTTTGGTTTCACCAAAAAAAGATTGAAGTTTTATAAACTCAGAATTATTTGTGGTATTCTACACCAGGAATATCTGAAAATGCGCGTAAAAAAGGTAAACATTTTTAAAAACATTAAACTTAAAAACTTCAATTCAATTGAAACTTTATTCGATTTACTAAAATTCGATATTTCATTTATCCCTTTAACGTGGCCCGATTCTTTAAAAATAGTTTTATCTGAGAGGATTAGACACTTAAAAAAATAATATTGAAAGGACGAGGATTTCGAGATGGCTTGGACGAGAGATTGTTGTGGTTGGCCTTCCTCCCCTTTGTCAGCTATTCATGTGTAAAATGGCGGGAAACCCCACTCCAACTGTCCAACAGTTTAAGATTAGAAAAAGTCCTCCTTTTTTTAAAAATGAAATCAGCATATAATACAATATTTGTGAAAATCAGCTTTCCAGTTTTCAGCTCTCCTAATGGAGAAATCAGTCATTCATCAAATGATAATCATTTGTTGACCATGATTAAGAAAGCTATTGACCACAAAAAAATCAGCAGTTAACCATGGAGGGGTCAGCTGATGACCATCAGAAATTAAGCTGTTGACAATCGGGGAATCAGTTGTCAGCCACAAGGGAATAAGCTGTTGACCATAAGGATATTGCACCTGTTAACCACGATTAAATCAGCTGTTGACCATAAGGATATCAGCTGTTGACTCTGTGGAAATCAGCTAATGATCACAAGAAAATAAGCTCTTCTGTTGACCACAAGGAAATTAGCAGTTGACCACACCAGAAAATCAGCTGTTAACCAAAACGGTATCAGTTGTTGACCAAAAAGATATCAGCTATTCCATAAGGGAATCAGCTGTGAAACATAAAGAAAATCAGCTGTTGACCATATGAAAGTCTGATTCTATTTCCTCCTCTGACGTATCGGACTCCTCTTCCCTGAAAATAAAACAAAAACAAATTATATATATATATTTTTTAAATTGTATTTTTTCTGTTATATTTTACCTTAGGAATGGACTATTATCTGTATCTGGAGTCCCAGAGATTTTTGAGTAAATTTCTCTTCTCCGTAATCTTGGACGTCTTAATCTTTAAACAAGTTGTTTAATATTATTTAAAGATAAAAAAGAAAAAGAAATACTTAAATTGAAAATCTACCTAAGAACTGTTTCTGTTCTACAGTGAGACACCATCCACAGGCCTCCAGTAGATAACCCTACTATACCTACAATACTCCCTTTACAAATCAAATACAAAAGGGGTATATGTTTTCCAGATATTCCAACTTTACCTACAATTCAATCATTACAAATCAAATGCTACAAGAGGGGTACATGTTTTTAGTGTTCGGTATTTTCCCAAAGGCATTTTTCCACGTGCCACTTTCCAAGTGACAATTGGGAGAGGATGGGCTAGAAGCTGAGTGCTCCAACTAAAACTTTTTAAATCTCCAACAAACGGTTCCAACCCAGGCCATAGGAGGGGGGTATACCTTTTCAAAATAAATACCCATTTTTAAAAACTCCCTGAAGTATACTTACAAAGAAAAAGAAGAAGAATTCCTCCCAGTGAACCAGAGCTGACCAAACTTCTTCAAAACATAAAGTTAAAAAGGAAAATGGATGTAGGGCTTGGTAAAATCACCAAAAACAATAGTGTCCTTAATTAATGAGCAAGATTTACTGTTATTTTCTTTATTGTTAAATAACAGAGTTAGAATTGCTCATTAAGAAACTGGAATGATCCTAAGTAAATTGTTGATAATTGTTAGTTAAAAACAAAATGTTGAACAAGGTAATTTGGAAAAGAAATGATATCAACATTGGACAACCAATCCAGCTAAATGGAATGAATATTCTTTAAAATTAAAAAAGGAGAAGGTTGAGAATAACCCCAAACAACAATTTACTGCACTGCATGAACTATATGTGCCTGGTAAGTCTTGTAGGAGAAGTACACACACCCTGGGTCCCACACAAACAACAAGGTACAATATCCTAAATAAAATAAACAATTTTGATCTTTTAACAAGTAAACTTTAGGCTAAAATCAACAGCCGATGAAAGTAAAAAAGACTGATAATATCCAATGATGAACAGGTTGGTACCTTGGTTTTCAGTTTACAATAAATCATCAAAGCCAAGCCTTATATATTTTTAGAATCAGAATTGGGATTTTAAAAAATACGGTTTGATTTAAACCACCTCCAACTCCAAGCTTAAAAATGTACTAAATTTTGATGAGAATTATGAGTGTTTGTTTATCCCATAGAACCACAAGGGAAGCTGGTATTGTTAGAGTTGGCTGATAACTTCAGAAATACTATTTTTTTTTATTTATTTCATTTATTTATTCACCTGAAGAGCATTACAACAGGGCACACAGGTGCTAGACCATGAGTCATACTGAAGGGGTCCTAAGTCAAACTCAATCATAATCAATCATATGAGGATGTAATTTTTCTTCAACTTTTTCCATTTGTTTTCAAATTCTGCCCAACATATCAGCCAATAAACTTTTGGGTTGCAAAGAATGGAATTTTATTGACTCCTGATTAAATGTTAAGTGACTTTAAAAAAGACAAATTTTAACAATGAGGCAAAAAAATTTTTATGAATAATCAGACCAGAAATATTTGTAGAAAAAGAACCTGAGCATGACGTGCACTGGTTTGGATCTGGCCCACTGCATGACGAGCATGATGAATGACAAGGTGAACACGTCTGTGATGTATCCGAGAGATAAAATCCATTCTCACAGTTTAAACAGTATCCGTCCCGCAAAACCTCATCGAGCAAACATCCTGTGCAATTCCCAGGTCCAGGCCCAGCACAGCTGTCACAACTGTTGTGACAGCTGGTACAGTTCACTAAAGCTGTTGTTTCACAATTGGTACAGTTTACTAGTCCAGCTAGGCCCGGGGGACAAGTAGGACATTCTTCAAGACTTTCATCTGGACAGCTAAATAAATTTCAAGGTGTTTAAAGTTCAATGAAATAAGTGAAATCTTACAGATAATGACTAGAGGCTCTTTTGAAATGTATTTGATCAGAGGCATATACAAGGGGGGTTATTGGTACTTTGCCTGAATCAGTGAAATTTATGGGATCCCTCTGGAAAAATTCCTTTATCACTGGCCCATTAATAATTTATTGTAAATGCAACCTAGATGCAAAAGATAAACACTAGAAGGTAAATGTACCAAAATTACATTGCATATAATATAAATGTAGTATGTAGACTGCAGACTGTTAGATCTCTTTACGAATGTAAAATGACAATTAGAATCTATTTTGTGAAAAGTTGATACTAAAGCTGTCTAAACCAAACATGAAGAGAGTATTTTCTTTTAAAGTTTCTTTAGTCCAAACTTAGGAAAAACTTAGTTAGACAAGTCCTTCTAAGCATTATGGGATATTTACAACTCAACAAAAATAGTAATTTCTACTTTTTTTACATAAATTGATAAATTAATATGCTGAGAAGTAGTTATTACAAGTTGGAGGCTTTAGGGGGGGGGGAGTACCTCCTGGGAAACTTGGCAAGCTTCCCCCCAGACAAGTTTAGGGCACAACTGTAGCTAGAGGGGTTAAAATTTAGATTTTTCAATTTTCTGATCTATTTCATGATAGGAACATTTTCTGAAGTTGGCAAGAATCATCAAAAAATTTCAGTCACATGTAAGAAATATAACTGAACAATTTTTCAAGTTTTTGGCATGTTATGCTTAGTTCTATGCTTCTTCTATTAGGAAAATTAATTTATATATTGGTTAAAAATTCGAATTATGTAAGTCATTTACAGAACAAAATTGACTGGGAAAAAAATTGAACCCACTAGTTAAAATATGCCCACTGATTTTCATTTTACTAAAGAAAGGGAGATGAAAATATATACCCCCCCCCCCCCACCGTTATTACCTTTTACATGAGTGTGAAGGATAGTAGTGTTGAGGGCAGGTAGTTCCACACTCACCTCCAGCATACACCAACCCTGTACACCAGTATTTCAGATAAGTAGACTTCCAATTACAAGGTTACCCACATAGGATATGACTGCAAGACAAAATGAAACTCATCTGACGATCTGATCTTTACATTAAGTCTTCTGCCTTAAATATTATCTATTAATGGCTCATTTAATGATTTGGAAAAGAAACAAGCAAGTTGAAAGTTGCACGGAATCATGACTATAAGGATACAGATGGTATAATTCCGTACAGTCATCTCTGAAGTCTCATCTTTTGTGGGTAACTCTGCACAAGAAAGTTGCAGCATGTCCAAAAAATCACTTAAGTTGGCAACTTGTTGAAGATGTTTAGAAACATTTCCAAAATTGGCAAATGTATTATATGATATGTCCGAAGAACTTAGTACCTTTTAACAAATTTTTTCTGAAAATGTGCACTGAACACTTTTATAATAATATCAAGTATAGAATTAAAATTACAAAATTAAATGCAACATATGTTTGAATATACCTTTAAATAGTTTTTATTCTTTTTCACTTAAACCTTTTATATAAGGGGTAAAAAATTTAATAAACTAAAACTGCATTCTAAAAATGAAGCTATTAAGAAATTGACTAGAAATTTAATTATTTTGTGAGTACACAATTATATAAGAATTCTTTATCTAATGAGAAACAGAACAATTTCAATAATATTATTAGTGATGTATTAATGGCATCTACTGTAAAATTTTCATTATTTATGTTTTATAGCTGTAAATAATAGCTATGAAAATATGGAAAATTTAAAATTATTCAATTTTAGAAGGGTATTTTCTGCTTCATTTCTTATAGTCATATTTTAAACAGAAACTTATCACCCTCTACATTTTCATGTAGATCAAGAAAACACTGAATTTTGTAAAATTGCCAAGAGAGAAAAAGTTGTAAGATTTTTCAGAAATTTAGAGAAGAGAATAATCTCGAGATTTGTCTAAAATTTTTAGCATTATTGATTAAAGTAAAGTGTACTTAAAAAGGTATTTAATTATTTGTAATTGAAAACGTTGCCAAATTTTACTTCTTTAGATCCCTTGTGTCAAGTTTTAATTAAAGATGAAGAAAAAGTGTTCCCAAATGCTCTACCAAGTGTCTTCCAATAAAAATAGGATCTGCCAAGCATAAAAATAAAAATTACTTTTATTATAAAGAAGGGTAAATTTATAAAACGGAGGAAGTAGGAAGGAGGGGATTATATTTATATTCACTGCAAATCATTTTCCCCATAAACATTAATACAATGAAGTGTTTCTAAGACAAGGTTTTTTAAAGAAAATATTCAGCCCTTTTCCTTGATCAATGAAATATGAAGAACAAATAACAAATTCTGTTTTTACTCTAAAATTGTGCACGTTAAATGTGAATAACACTTGCAAAAGCTTTGTTTGTCGGAAACCAAGAAAGTGTTTTGCACTTATTCCTTCTCATCCCTTCTCACTACTACACTCACACTATTTTCTATCAAATCTCAAATATTTCTATTTATTCAATAATTGTAAATCCACTCCACCAATGCATTTATGCTAATGTCGTATTTATTCGAATAAATATTTTGAACCCTTTTCAAACCAAATCATAGTAAAGGAACTCAAAACTGTTTTCATAATCTGTTCATCATTTTAAATTAATGGTGTAGAACATTTTCACTTGCTAAATCAAATAATCAAAGTTTAAAATATGAAATGTTTACATGATCAGGTTTTTATAACGATTATAATCTTAGTTTGGGGCAAGAAATTAGTTCCTTTTCATGGCATTACAAATATTTTGTTACAGGAAAAAATATTGCTAAGATGATTCAAGAAAATATATACCCCAGCATGAATCAATTAAATCTTTTTAATGTTTCAATAAATGAATTTATTTAACCCATTAGCCAAAAATTTAGCAGTGTTGTCATGAAAAAAGGCAGTGATTTTTCGCCTTCCTAAAGGACAGTCTATATTGGAATGTTTGGACAGCAATATATTAGAATCAGATAGCAACACCAAGTGGTTCATAATTTAATCATTGTATACATGTTCACGAAGGTTTCCTTTATATTTCCTGTTGTATTGAAATTGATATCTAACTTTGCTACACTTGCTGTTGCTCAATAGGCAATAAAAATGAAATATTATTGAATTACAGAAGTATAATACTCCTAACTACATCAGTTTAACTTGATTTTAAGAAATTGTAAAATTTCTGATAAAATGATTTTCAAAATTGAACATCAGGAAAAATATTTTTAGAATTTAAAATTTTATAATTTATTTTGTATTTAAAAGACTGAATTTCCAAATTTTTTAAGGAATGAAATAAATTTTTGAAAAGTTTATGTTTGAAAAGTTTAAAGGAATTCTATCAATTTTTAAGTTTGGATCAGGAATTGATATTTGTTTTGCAAAATTCATTACTGATATTTTTTTTCAGAAAATTTATGATTTCCAATTGATGATTTTATTTTGGCTTTGACATCAAATGTTAGCACTTAACATTGTTTTTTTTTTCACTGAATTTAGAAGTTGATATTTTTATGTTTTGAAAAAAATTTAAGTTTTAATATTGTAATTTCAAGTTTGACCTAGATATTTATGTTTTTTAAACTTTTTACAATTTTCTTGGTTAAGAATCAACAGAGAAATAATCAGAATTAAACACTTTATAAGTGAGAAAAACTTCAACATTTTTGATCAAATTAAAATGTTCATCAGGCCATGGTCACCTTGAAATTACACTTACAGTCCCTTTAAACCCAAGCTGACTGGAATATGAAGTACATCTGCTCTGTATGCAAGCTGTATAAAGATTGTAAAAATACTTGTGAATACTTGATAATAAAATGTTTTACAGACTAAAATAATTTACAAATCTTCAAACATTTTTTTCATATACATTTTTTTCAGTAAGGGACACCATGATTTTTGTTGCATAATTTTTCTTATTTTTTTCAAGTTGTTGATCAAATGTATAAATATAAGCTTTTCAATGTGTCTTTGAAAGCCATGAATACTCAGGAATAGAGATAAAAATAAAAAGAATTTGAGTTTGACTATCAGCATTGCTTGAAAGAGTTTTCAATGTAGGAGTTCTTTCCTTTATCTGTGGTAATTCCAGTTCTATATTGAGGCGGGTAAGTGAGTGAATCAGTAAGTGATCAACTAAAAGCCTGAGTTAGTGAGTGAGCAAGGGAGTCATTGAGAGAGTCAGTCAAATGTCAACCAACACAATTTCAAAATGATTGATAAAATAATTAAGGTTGATATCTTGATCAGAGAAAAAACTTGGTATATTGTAATAAAAACAAAATTATGGAAAATTGAATTTTAGTATGTGATTTAGAGCATGCGGCCTTATAACACTATAAGGCTGGGGGGGGGGGTCTGAATCTATGTATAAACGGAGGGGCCGCCCCCCCCCCCCGTCTAGAAAAAGTCCTTAGAGAATAGGTATAGGGTTGAATTGCATATTCAAAGCTAGCCCAATAGTTTGGGAGCTAGGGGGAAAAAAAGCCAAAAAAGGTTACAAAAAATGAAAATCAAAGTGTGGCACATGTTTCTACATCCATTTTTCTGTAGCTTCAGTAACAAAAAAGTTATGGGCTATTCTTTATTTTTTTACAGAGACATAACTTGTTATCCCTGCGTACCCTACCCTAAGCATTAAAAAAATGTTTTTACAAAAAATCCTTTAAATTACTATTTATTGTCACAAAATTTCACTGTAATAGTGTCAAAAATGAAAGTGCTAGGACAAAAAACTTAAGGAAGGGGCCCCAAACGGCCCCCTCCAGCCTGCTTAAGGTAAAAGTCAAAAAAAAATTGATTGCTTAAAAAACGGATATCAAAACGATGCCTATCCATATATGTGTAGTGCTGGACATGATAGAACTTATTTTAATCCTTAGGAGAATGGTTAGTTCTATAAAGATAATGGAAAGGCTTATAATATCTGTTTATATACCTACTAGTTGAAAGGGGGCATGAAATATCTTATTTTCTAGTCCCTCTTCAACTAGTAGGTATATAGGTGGTTTTATTTCTTTGATCGAGCAAATTCCCTCTTCATTTTTTATTATGTTGTCACTTTCATCCAGAAAAGCGTTTGCTTGTGACATTAATGCAGATGTTGATTTTTTAAGTAGAACTTTTTTCTTATTTTTACATTCTCATTTATCCTGAAACTTTTAACTAAACTCACAAAATAATTTGCAAAAAATTTGCAGCTTAATTATTAATATTTGCAAATTCAGAAGTCTCAATACTTGAACGTGTTCATACTGGCTCTTCAAAAATGAATATTTTTGGAGACTTAAAGGATTTAGAAACCATTAAAATGAAAACTCGACCTCTTTATGAGAAAGCTTGGAGTAAGTTTAGAGATTTGTTTCCCTGTTCACTGGAGTTTGATACAAGAATGCCATCAGAAGAAGAGTTTTAAACATATTTCAGATTTCTGAGACATGCTGAATTAAGGGGAAATATAGTAAATCTCTCCAACAGTATCCAAGACTACAATCTATCATCAAAGCATTTGATGTAGATGTGAAAAAGTAGGCCCACATTTTTAACAAAGAAGAAATTGGAGAATTTGTCAGGAATGACACTCTCTCAGGTCCATATTGGCTTGTTGGGAAAGCCTTCGTTATTTTCGCCATTTTCGTAGGACAGAGGTCATGAGCTTGGTTCTGGAAAAAATCCGTATTGGAGGAGAATGAGCTTATTGGTTCATGAATGTGCCAAACAAAGATCAGACCATCAAAAGTTCCAGGTTATATTCATTATAATTAATATTGTGGTTTAAAATTCAAACTTTCCAATTTTTTTAGATTTTCGGAACCTAAACCTAGCTCAAGTTCAGATATTGACTGGGCGGCTATTGTCTAAACCTATGTGGAACAAATTTAACTGGATTTGAATAGATTCACCGGCTGTGTTTTTTGGACAGGAAAGTTTTTACTTCAAAATAAACAGTGAACAATTTTTGCCTTAGAATTCTGGTTTTCAACTTGTGCTCATTGATTAAATCTTTTTTTTTGCAAAATAACTAAAAATGTCAATTCTGACCAGGAAGAGGATCAAGTTTTGTGAACCAGCCTCTAGGAAAAAATATGATAGCAGAGGTTTCACATGAGGTTGGTAGACCTCTTGGTAAACCAAACCTTGCAGATTCTACTTTCAATTAATTTAGAAGATCATCAGCTACTGCTGCTGCAGACAATGGAGTCTCAGCTCAACCATTAATCAGTTTCTATGGCTGGAATTCAAGAGTACATATCAACTAGTAAACATGCAGTGGGATGAACATGGCTTCTCTACTAAGTAAACCCAGCTGCATCCACAGTTAAGAACTCTATAGATTGAAACTTCTGAAACTGCAGAGAATCCTGCTGATACTGAACTAGAGACATCTCTTGAACCTAAACCATCAGCTAGGAAAGGATCTTACAAGAAACTGCCATTTTTTGCACAGGAAAATCTTGCAAGATAACTAAGAATGACAATGTTATCATGATTCACTCCTTTAATGGAACCGTTAATCTTTAAAAAATAACATTGCTGTATCTATATTTAGTATCAGTATAACCTGATTGTAATAAAATTTGCTATAGCATTTATTATGATGATTGAAATTACTAGCCGGGATATAATATTGGCAGCAGGGAAGTAATAGATATTATATCCCTGCGGAGAATATTTCATCTTGGCTCAAGTGATTTTATCCCGAATAGCTGGGACAAAATGAATTTCAGGATGACTTAATAACATAGTATTAATAAGGGCAGCCGAGAAATAAAATAACAAACCATTTAGTTTTTATTAATTGTTCTATTCCACTTTTTTACACAATTTTCCGTTAATCATTAAAGGAAGGAATTGAGATTTTTAAGTCTATAACTGCACTACCCGGCCACTGCATTCTTTACAATAATGCATTATATCAGGCTTATAAAACTAGAGAGGTTAACAAACAGAGATAATTTAGCATATCAAAGGTCTACAACATTAGATTGAATAGATATTAGATATTAGTTACTAATTTTAGCACCCTTCAGATGAGAGTGTATGCATTCTCACAAGTGCTATGCAGAGTAGCCCCAGATCCTCTCAGATCAGAGGATTGAGAAGGTCAGGTATAATTGCATAGATAGTACTGGTGAAATTCAATACACTCTCATCTTAAAAAACAGTGTAGACAAAAATTACTTGCCTTTTTGGGTGTTACATGAGATACAATGATTTGAACCTGGACCAAAACAATCCAAACAGTTCACATGACAAGGCCGGCAGATAGAATCCTAAATAGTAAAGGAGTAAAGGGGACTGTACACCATAATTTATAGTGCATATAGAATTTAAGTGACATGTTCCGTTCAAAACTGTACGTTGTACACTGAAAAGCTTTGTCATGTTATAAATAGTAAAAGGGGTTACCCTAAGTACCAGAGACATTACTGGACCAAAAAAGACGTCCTGACAACCTATTAGATGCTCAATCAATTTACAATGCCCTGTCAACCTCTCTGCTACATTGTTTGGTTGCTAGGGTAAAAATAATGAAAATATAAAGGAAACAATTTCAAGAAATAGTGGTTTATATAAATGTTTCACATTCATGAAAAATTAAGATTTTAGTTTTTTAAATCAGTTAGTATCTGGTTTATTATTAAAATTTCAATCAATTTACATCCATTATTCATTTGTCTCTAAATTCTATTACTTTGAAACTCTCAACCGGAGTGTCACTGAAAATTCCGGGGTCTATACGGGAAAAAGTGAAAACTATTATCTTAGTCCTTGAGTTTCAAAAAAGGATAATTTCTGAGTACTCTTCTGTTAAAATTATGTTAATAATTGAAATAACCTCTTTAATTAAGGAAATAAATTGAACTGACCTGATCAGAATATTCTCCCAGAGGGCAGGACGTGGCACACACTCCGTTTTGAAGAAGATGATAACCTTCGGTAAAAATAGGTAAAAATGGGTTATAAGGAAGTATGCTCTGTTAGAATATAACCTTACAATTTATTCATAATATGAATCTCATGAAAAACCTTTTGCATGTTTATAATAATAGAAAAATGCTTTTGGTGTACGATAATATAAATAAAATCTGACTGCAGAGTGATTCTGAAAAACATCTTAATATGACATAATAGAGTTAGGGAGTTAGGGTAGCTGCTTGGCACATTCTGGAAATTGTGCATGTAATGTTCATTAACAAGGGCCTTAAGGTGTAATTAGTTGTTTCTTTTAGAATCGTTCTGTTCCAAAAATTGTCATACATTTGTCTTAAGTAACAATTGTCTGTTAATTATACCGTTTGTAAATGTTTGGATCATTAATGATATATGATTGTTGAAGACAGCAGATGAGGATATGGGTTCCTCTTACAAAAGTATAAGCTGTTTTTGTTTGCTTTTTGTGGTTTATTATTGCCATTTGTGGTTTCTCTATAAAAGTGCCAAGCGCATTTCTTGCTTCAGTAACAATCGAAAATTTATCAGCGTTAAAAATATTACAAGTGAGATAACAACAGTATCTAACTGATAATAACAGATAAGTTAGATAAGTTAGATAATAACTTTTTTTAGATCTAAATATTTATTTTATGCTAATCCATTTAAAGATTTAAACAGGTTTACATTACATTACAAGATATAGCATTACATTTGCATCATTTTCATAATTTCCCTCAAACTTAAATCTAGTTCCGCCTTTGTAGGTCTTCGTTTAGGCTCGAGAACAGGCACAGGCACAGGCACAGGCAGAGGCACGGAACTTGGAGTCAACTGGGACATCACCACGGAACTGAGAGTCAACTGGGACTTCACCACGGAACTGGGAGTCATCTGGGACATCACCACGGAACTGGGAGTCATCTGGGACATCACCACGGAACTGGGAGTCAACTGGGACATCACCACGGAACTGGGAGTCATCTGGGACATCACCACGGAACTGGGAGTCAACTGGGACATCACCACGGAACTGGGAGTCATCTGGGACATCACCACGGAACTGGGAGTCATCTGGGACATCACCACGGAACTGGGAGTCAACTGGGACATCACCATGGAACTGGGGGTCATCTGGGACATCACCACGGAACTGGGAGTCATCCGGGACACAACCACGTTCGTAAGAGTCTGCATTGACCTCACCATAGGTACTTCCTTGGAAGAAGGGATGGTTTCATTTTCTTTTAATTTTTTTCTGCTCTTTCTCACCCTTTTCCTCCTTTTTCTCCTCCTGTTTGGCATCCTGGAAAGAGACTGGGGGAGGGTACCGAGGGTTTGGGAGAAGGAAAAACATTCTTTACCTCCTCTAGACCACAACCTCAGCTCCACAGATTCACCGGCCTTCACAAATTCCTGGTATAGAGCCAGGACCCGCTGTATTGAACCCATGTGTATTTGTTAAGTTGAAACAGGTTGACCAGGTAGAGTGGTCGTTCCCAACATTTCAGCTAATTTGGGGGCCAACACAGGTTTGCGGCCAAACAAGGCAGGGAGGAGAGAGCTGGTTGCTAACAGGTTGAATGCCGGGTCAAGACTGAATAATAATAACAGTATCTATGCTGTATCTACCACGCTTCTGATCAGAAGAAGGGTGCCATTGTAAATTTGGCATGTCCCTCTTAAAGTGGAGGATCAGCAGTACATTAAAAAAACTGTTGATGGTAAAACAGTTTTAAAACATACCAGAGAAGGCTCAAAAAGTTAGAAATGTTCTAGTTCAGGAAAATTCAGAGCCTTTTAACTTTCTTGGAAATTAAAACATTGACAGAAATATTTTTCAATTAAGCCAAATTTTCCAATTTATGTCACACCAAATATTTGTTAAAAATTCCTAAATTTTCTTAAATATCAAATTAATTCCTGTCTTGCTAATAAATTGTGTGTCAGTTCCAATGAACGATTTTAAATATAAAATATCATAAAATCAATTAATATTTACCTGGAAGACAACTTGTGCACTTTGCCTCATCACACCCCGCACATGCATGTGGACAGGCTAGGCATGAGTTGACCGATTCAGCTGGTTTAGACCGGACTGGACAGAACTCTACACAGCTGGATATATAGAGCCGATGATCAGAGTAGCAGGATGAGCAATCACGGTCCTGAACACATCAATTAGAGGTGTAAATATTTTCCAACTCATTTTTACCTTAATTACTCAAATGTTATGTAAACAGAAACCAGAGCCTGTGATTTAAAAAATTTGGGAAAATACGGCTCGGGTCTAATCTGCCCTTGGGCCTTATTTACGACTTGAGCTTTTGGATTCAAGCTTCATCTTATCTTCCACAGAATTGAGTTCAAAAAACGGTTTAATATTCTATTTGGCGTGGTAGGAATTGGCGCATTCTGGGTTTTTATGAGAATAAGACTCCACATTGAGCCTTATTCTCCACTAAGACCAACCAAGGTCGGTTTTATTTTCATTTCAATCACGTGACACAAGCTGCCGTCAAAGTTGGGTCGAAGATCGGGTCTTAAAGTCAGGTTTAAGGAAGTACGGCTCCAGTCAAAGTTTTTAAATTGCCGGATATGGAGAAATATCAAGTTAGCTATGAAATTTGTCTTTGGTAGAAAAGCTTTACTGAAATGTTAATTTAGCAATAGGAGAAACACTCAAGGTCCCAAACAGAACAGTGAGAGGGGTAAATATATTCTAATTTATGTTCATTTACTTTTATTACTCTCTAAAACATTATGAAGATGGAAACTGGAAAATTAAGAAGTCATCTAAACAAATTTGACCACAGAGAATCAGACAACTATGATTGTTCTGCATCATATTTTAAGACTAGGTGCAATGCTTTGGCCTCTGATCTACATTTTTAAACTGAATAGATAGTTGCAAAGGATAGCTGCAATAGATTGATTTGAAATTTTTAATTCTTTCAGTGTGTTTAAAAGTAAAATTTTACTAAACAAAATGTTTTTTAATAAGATATCTTATATCAATGTATACAACAGCCAATCTCACATTTAAGAATTCATAACAATAGCGCATGAAATGTCGGCTTGAAATTTATTCAAAAATTAGTGACATCTGTTATGCTTCATCGTTGGTCTGCACAAAAATAAAGCTGCTGAGATGTTTGCAGCTTCAATGGGTTGAATATGATTTATAAAAACATATCCAAATATAATTGTAAAGTCATCAGTTTTTTGATAATTCATTAGAAATTGCTTTTTATTTTTAATTCAAGGCAAATAAATAGCCCTGAAATAATAAATTTGTTTTTCCATAGCATCTGATCTTAAATATGTTGAGAATACGATATTATAAAAAAACTCTTGCTATATATTCATAAATCTGTAGCATTACATGGTTCATGAATGAATTAGTGATGCTTAGCAAATAACAATTAAAAATCAGTTTTACTGTTAAAACCAACCTTGGGTCCAATACATGTTTTACAGCTATTATGACAGGCTAGGCATGTTCCTTGACCAGAATACATTCCTGGCTGACATTCTCGACTTTCTGGTGGCAAACACTCTCCTTAAATGATATACAATGTAGAATTTCCAAAGAAATAGAGTTTTTGCCAAAAACACAAATTTTTTTAATCCTTTATTCTTACAACCCAATTTTAAACTAAGATTATTTGATCTAACATAATTCATAATTTGAAATATCAAATGTCTACGACATTGAATTGCAAAGATTTAGAAATAAAAAATCTGAGTTTGTGGCAAAAACTTAATTCCTTTCATGGATTAATTTGGTTCTGTATAGGCCTGTTGTAACCTTTCTGAAGCTGTTAAGAATAATAATCCAATAAAAACTTTTGGAAAATAAGGGTGGGACCTTTCTTAACCTCATTCTGTGTATCATCTAGTGGGTGTATTTCTTTAAAAAAAGTTTAGAAGGGCCGTAAGGATCCAATCCATTTATTCCTTGCTCGGAGATGGTGTATCCTTTATTGTTCCCTATGCTGCTTCTATAGAAATCCCTAATTCTTTCACCTGAGGCTGTGTATCCTGGTGCTATCAGTGCCACACATATAGGGAAAAACCTGTTCCTATTTTACCTGCTTCTGTTGTAATCCATCCATCTCTACACCTGGAGCAAGCTCCATCATCTATTCCAGTACAGGAATCACAACCATGAGGACAAGACATACATTCACGGAGAGCTTCCTATAGTTAAAGAACAAAATGATTGTTGTTGTAATCCCCCTGTTTACCAAAAGGTAAGGTGAGCATGGGATGTCCCCTTTTCCTTTTTGTTACATTAAAATAACTTGAGAACCTGAGAAAAGTATCCTGGAGGGCAGTAGCTGACACACCTCCTTTCAAAATAGTAGGTTCCCTCACCACACCTTCCACACTGGGTATCCAATACTCCTAGACAGCAATCAATAAATAAACTAATAGATATACAAATCCATCAATCAAATCCCCAACCTACAGATAATCAGATATAAGCAATTAAGCAATAATCTAGTCCATTAATAAATTTCTCAATTGAGCTTTACTCTGACTAAAAACATCTCTTTAAGTTTTATCAAATTCAAAACAGAAATTTACAGATGTAAATCAGAAGTCCTTATTTATGCAAATATAAGCAATATTCAAGAAATAAAACATATTTACCTGTACATGTCTCGCAGCTAGGATGACATGCTGTACATGAATTCTTGTTAGTAAAGTGCCCAAAGGGACAGTGGGCTGTACAAACCCCATCTAGCAGGACCATACCTTACAATTACAATATTGATTAATTTACTTTAAAAATCTATAATTTCAATACAAGAACAGGACACTAGAAATTTGCTTCTTTTCTGAAAATTAGTTTTCATTTTGTTGCATCTATAAGAGGTTAATGGCTTAAGCAAATATGACAGAATAGAGTGTACACTGCACTGCATGGTAAATTGATAAATACATATTCACATAAGCAGCCCATATATAAGTAAGGGTATTTATATAAAAGGTAGGGGGATATATATTTTACATTTTTCAACTGCTGGATTGAGGTATATATTTTTGACATACCTACCCTGAACATAAAAGTTTCAACCGTTTTGATATAACTAATTACTTGCTGTTAAAATAGGTCATTGTCAAATGTTGCAAAAACCCTATACCCCTACATTAAGAATACATACCTTGGTTTGATTAAAGTCCTAAATGTAGGCATATGAATCCTACCTTGTTTACAGGATGTACATTTGACAGTTCCATCATCTAGTGTACAGCTGTCACAGTTGTCACATATTAAACATGTCCTGATTTATTGTATTTATTCATGTATTTTTCCTGTGAATTGATTTGTTGTTACAACAATTTTTACCATTGATTATCATTATCAATTATTTTTTTTCTAAAAACTAAAACTTAAATATTAAATATTAAAGATATTAAAATAAAATTTAATGAAACTAAATTACATGGTTCAATTTTAAATTTCCCATTTAAAGCCTTCCTTAATCTTTAACTTTGAATTGGTGGTTTAAATTTGAACTGGCAGTAGGTAGTTTAGTGACACAGCTCAAATTCATTACATTTTGTCCCTGAAGGTTTGGGTCCACGTCCAAGCCTTGATCTCAATCTTATGCAGATATAAATTTAAGCATGTACCCTCAAGTTAAAAGTGCCCACATTGGATATCAAGATAAAGCCTTTGTGCAAGATTAAAAATACTTCCCACACAAAATCCAGTCACAGATCTCTATATAAAGAATTCAATTTTTAAGTCTTACAAATACATTCATTGAAATTTTTAATCAGAAGCACTAATTGAAATCATGATTGAATATTTAAACCTTAAAAAATTCATCAAAACATATATTTTCTTAAACAGAATTATTAAGTATAACTAAATAGATTAAATTGGATTTGTGATAAATTGCTTTGCAACAAATAAAAAACAGTAAACTCAAAATCAACTGTATAAACTTATACAGCCTTAATAGGAGTGTCACTGTATATCAAGTGACCTTCCGTTTAAAAAACGGGTATGCTCAATTAAAAAGTTTACCCTTTAAAACATTATTTGAGCAATAATTTGGAATATGTTGTTTTTCTAACTTAAAAGTGTTCAATTATAATAATTTTCTCCATTGTTTCTGAATATAATCAATTTAAAAAAGAAGATAATGAATGTTTCATTCATCCCGGATCAGACAAATATTTCTTTGGCAAATTATATAAATGGATGGTCTATTGAAATTACATCTTCCCATTAAGCATGGAAAATAAAAACCCCTGTTTTCTGTAAAGAAATGTAAAGAAACCTAGTTAAGCATGAATTCAATTTCCATAATATTTGTTCACATCAAACTTGGCTCAAAAGTTAAAAGGAAAGTTTTGTGTATTTTAGTTTTGTTTTTCAAAACTAAAATGTAATGTTTAAAGTCTTGTCAATATTTGTTTCCTCTCCGTACAATTCAATTACCTAGGTTCTAAGGAAGAAATGCATACAACTTTATTTGTTCTTCTAAAAAAAACCTTTATTTACAAAATTTCTAAGATATATTAAAAATTGTAATGTTATGAAACATTCCTAGTAGTTTCTTTTTAGTGTAACAAATTGTTTGTACTGAAGTTGTCTTCCTATATCTAAAATTTATTCAGTTACCTAATTATTTATAGAAATTAATGAAAATTATAATGATTAAAATACATAAATTCCTGTTTATAGCATCAGTATAATATCCTTTTGGGCATTGAAAAGTACACTCTCCTCTGTCCTAGCAAAAAAAATTTAAAGGGACTGGTATCATATCTGATTAGCAATTTAAATTTTTAAATCACTCTTTAGTAGGGTTTCCAACCTAAGTGGATTTTACTTCCATGCAATTGTGAACCCTTTTAACTCCATGCAATTCCGCGCAATTTTACGCAATTCTTCAGGATTCAAAATAGGTGCACCCAATTTCAAGCAACGGAATTCTCATTGGAAACCATACTCTTTAATTCATTTAATATTTCATGCGATGGTTCAGTTATTTGAAAATAACCATAAAAACAAGTTTCTTTTTAAAAATGAAACATAATTGAGCCTTTAGGGATGCCAAACGTTTTTGTTCCCAATCAAGTCTAAAACGATTGAATTTACTATCCTTTTTAACAGTGTACAGCTACAGAAAACTATAAATGTCAGAAAAAATCTGTACAGTTGTCTCTGAAGTCTTATCTTTTGTGGATAAGCCTGTATGACAGATTTTATTTCCTTGAAAACTTGACACTGTAGGAAGAGATATAATTTCCACTTTTAAGATTTATTATTCCAACTCTTCAAATCTCTTTGCATAACTTTAACATTAAATTCTAATTGAAACTATTGGAATAATTTCTTCTAAACTGAGGGGTATACATTTAAAGAATGATTCTCAAATCTTTAGGTGACATGTACCTCTGACCCTTTAGTAAAAGTAAATGCAACCTAATGTCTGACCGCGTCAACCTTGTTTCACCGGGTAGTCCTATTGAGTGCCTTATTTACCCAATGTCTGGGCGATACAGTACAAACTGAGACTGGAAAGGTTGACCCGGCTGGGAAATTCAAATGTACTACGGCTGCCCATGGTGAACGATGATTTGAAACTTTTTATATGATACCCTTAATAATTGTTTTATTTTCTTAATATTATATATTGTCAAAGGCCTAACTTTAGCCAGGGAAGGTGCTTTTTTAAAAAAGGGGGGTGATTTCAAAGAAAATATAAATCCCTTTGTCTCTGAATAGAATCCTTGGAGAAAATTAGGTTACTAAATTTTAATATCTTACATTTCAGAATTGAATAATCATAATATTAAGCTATAAATTTTTCATTGGATGACAATGTTAACTGAAAATCAGAAAATAATTTGATCTATCGGGTTTAATATATATATTTTATACCTCTTATGTATAAAAACACAATTAGTACTACATTTCATTCACTAACTCATTTGATACTCTCTTACACATTCACTCACTCACTCACACCCTCACTCACTCACTCACTCACTCACTCACTAAAATACCTGCAATAGTAGCATACTTGAAGAGCACGCCAGACACTGACTTGAAGAAGGACCAAAGCACTCCTAAAAAATCTCAAAATTCAAATAACTTATTTCAGAATTAAATTCAAACAAAAAAGAAAATTTGTTTAAGGTGTTCCTAAAAATAAGAAGCGTTTTAGAAAATAAAAGTTTAAAACAATTAAAATCAACATTAGAATAATATTTTTTATTTCAGATTCGCTCCCATAAATAAATCAATGAAAACTTTAAATTCCGGTTCATTTCAACTACCAGAACGACTTTTAAGCGAGATAAAGATAGGTGTATAGTACACATACAAACTATAACGGGACAGAATATCAAATACATCATTTACTTTTAGTGAAAGGAATTGAGTTTTTGTCACTTACTGAATTTTCTAATCCCTGTATCTTTTCAACCTGCTTGTGAAAATCTTTGATATTTCAAACTTACATTATTTGATCAAATATAATTGATAGTTTGAAATATCTTAGGTTTACTACATGGTTTGCAAAGATATAGAAAATATATATAGAAAATTAGAGTTTGTGGCTGAGACTCAATGCCTTTATGTTAAACGATGTTCTCATATGTTCATCATAAAAGTTACAAATGCCCTGATCAAAATCATTCTGTTCTTGATTTTAGCATTTTAATCGAATCATTCAACTAGGGTTTAGGATCAAACGTTTCTTGGGATGCCATTGAATTGATATTTCTTTAATTTCTATAAAATGTTTGATATTTCAATCTATCTAACTGCCCTGTTTTATGTGGACTATTTAAAATCACAACTTGAGTCTTAAAATCATTTTTATGGGTTCCACAGTATCTATATATATGAAGTTGTAATCTCTGTTTGTCTGTTTGTTTGTCCGAGCATAACTCAGCAACCCTTGGACTGATTTGTTTAAAATTTGATGGGAGAACTCGGGAGATCCACGGGAATGTTCATAGATTGGTTTTGAGATTCTTATTTGAGTGGGTCGACTTTAAAAGCAAAAATTTAGTTTCCCAGTAAAATCGTTCAAGTGCGGGTAAACGGCATGAATAACTGTAATCTGGACAGCGCTGTGTTCCCAAGCTGGTTTACAATAAAATTTTATTTTTCTATTTTGAGTTTGATTTCCTTGCAAGATGGGCTGCAGGGTCTGCAGGTTCCAGGGGTGGATAAACCCATCCTGAAATAAATTCTGTCAATTTTCTTCCTTTCCTCTGCTGCATAAATCAATATTTTGCTCGAAAAATGGTACCGTTGTGAATCGAACATATAACTCTAGAGGATCGATGTAAAACGTTAACAGTGTCCTTAAAGTGACTGTATAAGCGTGAATTCAAGTGACCCTGCATGTAAAAATGACAATGCCCGATTTAAAATGATAAAATGATCCCCTTGAAACCTGAATTTGATCAACTGTGTGGAAGATACCGTCGTTTTTATTGGCTCGAAAAGTGTTTACTTCCATGAGTTTCTGCCAGGGGGGCTGGATCTTAGTATCTCCGTGTGTATTGGCCTGAGTGTACACTTGGGATAGTTTACTGATAAATGATATTTAGAGATTATGACATAATTATACAGTACAAATATCAAATATGCAGTACACTTTCGGAGTACAAGTGTATGGGGAAGTTTTGTATCTTGAATTTTACTCAGTTTTCTCAGAACAGTTTATTAACGATGAAATATTGCTCTGTAAAAGACTGTAATAGTGTGTCTGCCTGTGAAAATGGAATCATACACACGATACATACACGACATCATACAATAACCTCGTTGGTTTCTGCTAAGCAAGATATGTGTAAGCCACTTTCACAAAGAAGCCGCAAATGATAATAAACAGTTTAAAGAAACAAAAACATGCATATATAATTCATACTTGAGCAGGCAAAGCTGTCAAGGGTACCGTTGTAAATTGGGCATCGACATCTTTGCTTGAAGGGTCACTTGAAATTACACTTACAGTCCCTTTAAGAATATTTTTTGCTGATAAATATTTAAACTTTGAGCTTGACAAAAGTTGGCTTGTAAAAAGTTTTGAAAAATCATGGTGAATCGATATTTCTTTTGAAATGACGTTGCAGTTTATTTATTTTTTTAATAAGTTTTCTTCCTTGAGAATTTTAATAATTTAGTCTAGTATTCCTTCATTTTACACTTGTACTTTTCATTTTACAAGTGTACTTTTCATTTTACAATTGTACTTTTCATTTTACAAGTGTACTTTTCATTTTACACTTGTACTTTTCATTTTACAATTGTACTTTTCATTTTACAATTGTACTTTTCTTTTTACAAGTGTACTTTTCATTTTACAAGTGTACTTTTCAATTTACAAGTGTACTTAACATTTTACTTATTACTTAACATTTTACTTATTTACTTACATATTGAATAAAGATTAAAGAAATCTGCAGATTAACAAAAGATCAAGATCAAGCATTAATCTTGATGTCCACAATAAAAAAAAGTTCCCAGCTGCAGGCAAACGATCCCCAAAACAACCCGCGAAATGTCTGCCTAGCTGATGCGATCGAGTGATTTTCAAACAATCGAATTTTATTCGGTCTTTTGAGTGAGTAGAAAATATTGTTATAGGAAAAGACAGTTAAGGAACTACGTTTCTGTCATAAACTCAACTTGATATGTTATTTATTTTATACTATGAATTATGTTTGAAATTTTAAAGATTTACATCATCAGGTTGGAAATATTGGAATATTAGAAAATTTGAGTTTATGACAAAAACTATATTCCTTGAATTCTTGTATTTACACGTGTGAAAGGGTGTTAAGTGCTCACATGCAATATTCTGTTACAAACTGGACCTACACAGTTCACAGAGATCTTTATAGACAGATGTCAAATTTTTAGAGCACTAAAGCCAATTTATAAGCAATATTCTTCAAACTTTGTTGAATGTAATTAAAAATTCATAAAAATTTATCTTGTGCTACAAAGTTAATTTAGCTTCGATGCTCCATCTAAGAGTGCAGTTTACAATTTGGATTATCCTACAGTTAAACCCTAAATAAGCCATACATCGAAAGAATTCATCCAATGTCGTATTCTTCACTTTCTGATAATGAAATGTTGCAGATATTTAGTTTTTTAATTAAATGATTATTTGGATCTCTTTAGAACTATTTCCACATATTCCTGGCTATTTATTTATTTTCGCAAGTACTGAGATTTACGTAAAAAAAACATCGAAAAATTGTCAAGACGACATTTGATAAAGTCTTTCGATGTATGGCTCATTTTAGGTTTCATTGTATAAACATCTGGCGTGAGATATTTTGTGATAAAATAATGAATATAGTATTAACCTGGACCAAGGTATGCCTGGGTAGGGAGAGGTAATGAGATATTTTGTGATAAAATAATGAATATAGTATAAACCTGGATAAGGTATGCCTGGCTAGGGAGAGGTAATGAGATGGAGGGCAGAAATTTAAACAAACTCCATCTGATCTGGAAATAAAGATAAAATGAAATAAGTTTATGATGTTTATTTTAGTAAAGTACTGTAAAAGTAATTTCCACGCAAAGATAACATAACATAACGGAAACCTTGAATGATTTTTCCGATCAATGATGTGGATGATATTGTTGTTTTTCTAGGTTTAAATGTAATTAATTCAGATAATTTTGAAATGTCTTCCTGCAGTATAAATACACAAGCCACAATTAAAAATAATCAGTTTAAGATTAAAAACCTTTTATTCGAAATTCAGAAAATCTACAGAATTTCTTTAAATAAAGAATATTATTGTAAAATTGTTGTGAAATATTTGTTCTGAAAAGTTCTTGAAAATAAATAAATATTGTTTTAATTTTGAACTCTGTTCATTTTGTACAGTTTTGTAATTGTAAAAAAATAAAAAAATAAAAAATAAAAAATCAAGCAATGTTGACTTTGTTTCAAAAACTAAGTGAAATCTGTAGATTTTATAAAAAGTTTGCGTTGTAAATCTCGATAAAGAAACTTAAACTTAACTAAAATGAAAAACTTAAATATTTAACGTTTAAAAATAAGAGGAAAACTGGTTTTTCCTTCGTGTTTAATAATTTGTCAGACCGGATATGATTGATGAATAAAATGTTAAATAATAGATGAACACTCCCTTTAAACATCTATAAATAGGTGAACGCTCCCTTTAAACATATTAAAACATTTCAACTTACTTTAAAAAAGGTAAACACTCCCTTTAAACTCACTGAAGAAGGTGAACACTCCCTTTAAACTCACTGAAAAAGGTGAACACTCTCTTTAAACTCACTGAAAAAGGTGAACACTCCCTTTAAACTCATTGTAAAAGGTGAACACTCCCTTTAAAATCACTGGAAAAGGTGAACACTCCCATTAAACTCATTGAAAAAGGTGAACACTCCCATTAAACTCACTGGAAAAGGTGAACACTCCCATTAAACTCACTGGAAAAGGTGAACACTCCCTTTAAACTCACTGGAAAAGGTGAACACTCCCTTTAAACTCACTGAAAAAGGTGAACACTCCCTTTAAACTCACTGAAAAAGGTGAACACTCCCTTTAAACTCACTAAAAAAGGTGAACACTCCCTTTAAACTCACTAAAAAAGGTGAACACTTCCTTTAAGTTGACAGTTTATCTGACCTGATATTTTTGCATGATTTCCTGCATTCTTCATCACAGGGCACCGGAGTACTCTCCCTCACCTTAACATTAAAAATTAATTTAAAAAAATATGTTTTCGAAATTAAAAAAGGAAAAAATATTCTAATTCTGCTAATAAGATTTTAAAAGAATAATTAAACTAGCTTGGGAACCCAGCTTTGTCTGGAAATTCCTTTTAAAATTCCACAATTATTAAATTTTGAAATTTTGAAACTAAGATAAAGAAACAACTTAGTTTTCTATTCCATATATCTTTGCATACTGATGGTGTAAACTGTAAACCTTTCTTATTTCAAACTTTATTATTTGATCTAACAGAATTCCAAGTTTGAAATATCACAAGACTACGACATCAGAGGCCGAATTTAAAGAATTTGAGCCGCGGCTCAAAATGATTGATACTACTTAAAATTGTATTGCATTTTTCAAGATTTAAGCCGGCGCTCAATTATAACCGGTTTTTGGCAGATTTGAGCCGCGGCTCAAATTCATTAAATTCGGACACAGGTTGCATATTGGAATTAAAAATGTGTCGTAGAAATAGTAAGCATAGATGGATTATGCTATTTGAAATATCTAATAGTTCACATATCATCATTTCTGATTTTAAAGGAATTATGTTTTTGCCACAAGCTTAAATTTTCTAATCCATATATCTTTGCAACCTGATAGTCATAACCTTTAATACTTCAAACTTTTATTAATAGATTGACAATATTTAAAAAAAAAAATCAGAGTTTGCAGCAATTACTCAATTCCATTAGGCGAAGATACAAAACCATTTAAATCTCTTTTTTTCGTTTTCTTTTGTGAGACCCCATGCCTTACCTTATTTTGTTGTAGATTATTTGTTGAGTTTATGTCAACTGTAACTTCATCTGTTTGACCTAAAAAAGTAAATAAGTGTTTTTTATTTTTAAATTGCCAGGTTTACAGTGTGCCAAACTTCTATTTTGATTGTGAACATTTGCACATAGTAAAAAAAAGTTCGATGATTTTATAAAAAAAATTTCGTGGATTTTCAAAATTTAATGACAATCAAATTTTGTTGGAGGCTAATTTTTTTTTAATTTTGACCAAAAACCTTCCTTGGGGACATGAAGTTCCACACAAAATCAGTTTAGCCGTTTTTACGTTTATTGGACACAAACAGACAGACACCCAAACAGACAAGCAAAGTATATTTAAAGACAACAAACAAATTTACTAAATAACATATTAAAAGAATACATATTTTAAACAAATTTAAAAATTTTGTGTGGATAGGTTTTAATAAAACTAATATTTTTATTTATCTTTTATTTTTTGGACGCCTATATGTTTACTTATTATTCCTTCAAATTATCAAACCATTGCAGATATTATTGCAGATTATTGCAGTTAGTTAGTGCAGCTTTTGAAAAAATAGAATTAGGTTGATTCGATTTCTGTACATTTTTCCTTCTGTACCATTTAAAGGAAGTGTTTGCGAAAATGCAATCATTGCAGTGATAACCAGAAAACTCTAAAATAGGAAGACGACTTTCTAGCAATATTTGTGTGTATTTGATGTGTTTACAAAGCAAATAGTTTTACTAGACACTTAGTAAATCACTAATTAATGGAATTGGGCCTGTTTAAACTGCACAATTGTGTCCCATGCACATTAGACTATTTAAAGTCATAACTGAAGTCTAAAAGTCGTCTTCCTAATTTAAAGTTTTCTGGTTATCACTGTAGCTTTGAATAGCTAGAACCAAGGGTGTAAGGCAAGGAAAGTTAATTGGGTCGTGTATACTCTGCGTACATATTGAAACCAGTTCTCTCTGGGCTGAATTTGTAAACAAGAATAGATGCCTTAGTGTTCCTTAAGTATCCGAGGAGGTTAAAAGCATTAAATTTTGATAATTTTGATAATTAACATAAAAGTTTCCTATGACCAGAATATTTCATTGATTTGTTTTTTGTGAAAGATGGATCACATGTCAGGCTTTGACATGCGTCTTGTGTTTACATTACCGCCCAGAGGCAGTACAAAAGATGTGTACACTTCTGAAATAACTTCCTGCATTACATCCTTGGCTAGAACCATATTTAATTCATGAATTGATGAATAGCTAGAACCATATTTGATTCATGAATTGATGAATAGCTAGAACCATATTTGATTCATGAATCGATGAATAGCTAGAACCATATTTGATTCATGAATTGATGAATAGCTAGAACCATATTTGATTCATGAATTGATGAATAGCTAGAACCATATTTGATTCATGAATCGATGAATAGCTAGAACCATATTTGATTCAGGAATCGATGAATAGCTAGAATCATATTTGTATCATGGATCGATGAATAGCTAGAACCATATTTGATTCATGAATCGATGAATAGCTAAAACCATATTTAATTCGTGAATCGATCCACATTTTTTTTGTCATTTTTTTGTCCGATGTTTTTGTAATGAAAACTGTATCTACACTGCCCTATCTATTTACACTGAAACAAAGGAAATGATTACTCGCCACCAATTCTAATTGTCTTTTATCTTTGTAACCTTATGTCGACTTTGTGGCAAATGCTCAGCAACGCCAAAGAAACTCAATTTGTATGGATTTGATCGAATTGAGAAACATAAATCGGAAACATTCCCATCAGGGATATTCTCTTGATCCCAAATCGGATTAGAGATCTCGAATCATATTTTCTTGAATTTGAGCTTTACACAAAGCAAAATATAATTCATCTTCAAACTTTTCCTCTGACCCTTTTAGAAAAGATCTAACCTTTCTCGTTGAACAATAGGCGACCCTCACCCCCTCCCCACCGGTCCTTCTCCTTCCCCCCCCCCCTTCCTTTCTGCTTTAGCGCTCTTTAAACTTTGAACAAAGTGAAGGGTATGATAAGAACTGGAAAAGTTTTTCTTTCCAAGAAAACTAAAATAGTTGCACAAACTAATAATCTTCACAAGAAAACTAAAATAGTTGCACAAACTAATAATCCTTCCCAAGAAAACTAAAATAGTTGCACAAACTAATAATCCTTCCCAAGAAAACTAAAATAGTTGCACAAACTAATAATCTTCCCAAGAAGATTAAAATGGTTGTACAAACTAATTAACCAGTTCTTATTTGCTTTCATAAACTTCTTACTTTCTCAATAAGTTGCTATCAAAACCAGTCCTTAGTTGATATCAAAAACTTGTTGATTTCTAAATAATGGTTTATATGTGGCTTGTTTATACTGGTTTATACTGGTTATAACTGTTATAACTGGTAGTTTATACCTGGCTTGTTGCACCGAGTCCCCAGATTCTTTAAATTCTTACATGGATTCTCTACAGTACCGTACAACACTATAAAACAGACAATAAGTACTATACAGTACACTTGAAACTGAGATAGATAATTAGACAAAAAGAAAGATAGATCCAAAGAAAGTTAGGTATAGATAGATGGACTAATAAGCAAATAGATTCGTTACCAAAAGATAGATAGGTATATAAAAATTTAGACAAATTAATTGAAAAATAGATAAATATATTATATATATATATAAATATATATTATAGAAAGATAAAATTAGACCGATAGATAGATAGATGAATATTAGCTATATAGAAAATGATACCAATACCTAATTGCCAATGCTTGAGTAAACCGTCCGAGTTGGCACTCTCCGTCTCGGAATTAGAAATCTCTAAATAAAATTATCAAATTTAAAAGATAAAATATTCATTCAAACAGTTTCAATAAGGCAGTGTTTTTTACTTCTCACCATATTTTCAATGTTAAGCGCTGATATAAGGATTTATCTCTAATTGGATAATGAGATAGATAGAAAGATAGATATTACCGCCATACTATTTCTATTGGTTCAGAATAGACAACAAACACATAACTGAACCCTTATTGGATCAGGCGCTAATGGACTCGGCATACAGAATTGTCTTAGAAAAGCAAGTGTATGACAAAACATAATCAAACTAGCTAAAACAGTAAATAAACAAATTATAATTTTTATTATAACATATACATACACACAGGTTGTCCTTATAATATACATACACACAGGTTGTCCTTATAATATACATACACACAGTTTGTCCTTATAAGGGTGCCAAGTTTGAAACCTAAATACTGAACAGAAATATAGATCTTGTCACATTTATTCAGTGACATTTTTAATCTACAAATATGAACGTTTTGTTATTTCAATTAGTTCACTTCTCTTTCTTTATCAGCTATTCAAAATGACCATCTCAGCTTTCTCATGAATGCATAATTTGGCTCTGGTTGAAAAATTATCAACAACCCTCAGTAGAGTATCTCGTGAGATTTCCTTGGCAAAGTTCTCAACAATTACTCTCTTGAAGGCTTTCACAAGAGGAACAGTCTTCTTGTTAGTGATGGTGGAGTTAATAATATAATCCCTGCAACGCTGAGTTAATCCTTTGTCAGAAGAATAGTTCTGAACAATCCAAATCTTGGCTTCTTTAGAAATATGGCTCAAATGAAATAACTGAATTTGCGCAATTTTTGGTATGAGCATAACAAAGTTGCATCAATTTGAATATTAAAAAGACACCCTTTAATAGTAAATATTTCCTACTAACAAGTGATGCATTCTACAGATAGCCAAATAGATTATAAAGTACAATAGGTGGCAACAGAGAAATGGACCAACTGTACACGACGTCACAAGTGTCAAATATAACAAGGAAAAAGGAAATTTTCTCTCATTAGTTGACATGCTTTCTAATATTAAATTTTAAAAAATGTAAAAACAGAAAATAAAGAACACATCAAATTGCACTTCTTTTACTTCAAGATCTAAAATTATCACTAATAATAATAACTTTGACACTTGTGACGTCAGAATACAGCTGTACTGAGAGTGAACAAATTCTACGTTGCCATCTATTGTACTAGAATCTATTTGCAGATAGTTAACACTTTAAACCAATAAAGTAGATTTTTGTACATACTAGTTCTAAAAACTGTAACTTAACAACAGAGTAATTGTTGCTAAAAGTACCATGTATATGTAAACAATTGACAGTTGCAAAAGTACCATGTATTTGTAAACAATTGACAGTTGCAAAAGTCGCTTTATTACAAAAATATGTATTATCAATAGACTGTAATATTATTTTAACCACGGCTTTAGCTAATAAAAAGTTGAAGCTAGTTCAACTACTAATGTCAAGAAAAGGATAAAAAATAAAGTAAAAATGTTGTATTACCTAAAGTCCATTCCCCTGTTGGGTCCTCACCCCAGAAATGAACAGAGAGAAACGGCCAATCTTCAAACCCTAAAATGATCATCATCATAAGTATTGTCATCATCATCATTATCGACATAATCATTGTCATCGTTATCGTCAACGTCATGGTCATGGTCATGGCCATGGCCATCATCATCGTCAACGCCATTGTTATATCATTGTCATCGTCATTGTCATTGACATTGTCATTATTATTGCCATTGTCATTGTCTTTGTCATTGTAATCATCATTGTGATCGTCATTGGCATTGTCATTGTCATCGTCATCCTCATCGTCATCATCGTCATCATTAACAATACCTGATGCCATTGTATCCCTGGGTCTGGGTAGAAGAAGATGTGAGACTGTTCCACGAGGCGACCTAAATATGGTTCAGATACCAGAGCTTCTAGTGTTGAATTAGTAAACTTAAAAGTTGTTAATTAAAATTAAAAGTTTTTAAAAAGTTTTAGAGTGATTTTTACCATTTTTTACGATTTTGCAGATCATGATCGAAATCAGGAAGAAAATTTAAACTTTCAGAGATACAACATATAGTTCATAATTTCGATCAAAATGTTTATAATTACGATCAAAGAGTTAATTTTGTTCAGTATATAATACGACAACTATGAATTATCCACCTTTCATCTCTAACTTATCTCGTATTTAGACTTTAGACATGAACAAAATTCAGAACAAAGAAAATGTTCAAACATTAAATATTTACTTAAGATCTTTTTCTTTTCAAGAAATGTTGTATTTCTGGTTGAATAACATTCGAATAATAAATATAACAAAACAAACTGTGGAATAATTTTTAGAAATTTCAATGAACTAGGTTTTAAAATTTGACTCTAGTTGTGAGCATTTTCTGTTCGTACGATATGAAACAATAAGAATAAAGTTCGCGGATGTCATCATATTTTTTTCGTGGAGACTCGAAAAAAATCATTTTTTTGGACAAATTTTTAAAAATTCTGAGCATACATAAACCTTTCCTGGGGTCCTATGAGTTGCCTTACAAATTTAGGGCCCGTTTTAACGTTTATTGGATATAAACAAACAAACAAAACAGACAGAGAAGTAAAAGTATATATTATATGCAAGGCTTTTAGGGCGCCACGCGTCCATCTTCTATTTCAATTGTGAGGCTTGAAGTGCGCTTTGCCTTTACCATCGAAGTGATTTCTTAAAATTTCAGAAATTAAAGAAGAAGAATATGGAGATATTGTGATAAAAAACAGATTTAACTCTATAAATGTGACATGTACCGTGTACGTCTAATTCACAATGGTACCGTGCAAACATAAATATGTTTTAGGGTAGACCCTTTGTTGTTGTAAAAGTCTCAATGGATTTAAACGAATACAATAATATTTTATACATTACAAAATACTAAGCTCAGCTCCTTTCCATGATAAAATTAAAAATAGACAAGGACATTGATTCCTGTTTTTCTAATTACCATTTTATATATTCGTTCTAACTATTCGTTATTTAATTTAATTTTAACAGGGTTGTCAAAGGTTAGCCATTTTTTAAATCTGAATGATTTTAAAACGAAGATCATTTTAATGATTAATAATAATTGAAAAATTACTTATAAAGAGCGGTGTAAAGCGCCCAAGATTTACCAACCTGAGAGATATCTTGAGATGTCCTCTAGGAAAATATTTCAGACTAATCCTACATTGAACATGTTCCAGATACCGGACCTGCACAAAAGGGAATGTAGATTTAATCATTAGTGACCTTTCATAATTCACAATGGTACCCATTGAAGCTATGTCTGATCAATAATGTTTGAGATATCCATGTTTTTCTCATTTTTTAAATAGTGGTTTATATTTAAAAGTGACTTTAGAATTTCTGCTCCAGAAGAAACGGAGGAAATTGAACAGTTTTTAGGTAGAAAAACGAAGATATATTCCACATTATTGATCAACTAAAGGTTTAAAAGATACCGTTGTGAATCAGACATTCCCCTTTCTAAATGAATATTAAAATTAGAACGACTGCCAATAGAACCCTGTTAAAAAAGACCCCACTAGGATTTAGTTGTATCATAGAAATAACAATAACAATAGTTACATAAAAAATATATTTTGAGATATTTTTCAATTTTTTGTAAACAAAGGTCAAAATATTTTTCTGGGATTCCTACTCTCCACTATTTCGCTCCTTCTCCCTTCAGGTTTTAATTTCTTAAATTCTTAATTTCTTAATTTCTATACTATTTAAGCACAAAAAAGCTGCTACATAAATGTTCTTCACACTTTCACCCCTCTTTCCAGTTTTAGGTGTGTTTACAGTATTTGATTTTTTTCATTTTGCCCTTGTTTACATTTATTGGTTGAGTTTTTACTTTTTTTACTTTTTAATCTTTTATATTTGAAGATTTCAATATCTAACCTTGCTGAGCATATTATCACAACCATCTGTTATCATACTCACGTTCAATTTCATTCCCTTCGACTTCGGCAGAACCTAGAATATATGCATTTATAGTAGGGGTTCCATCCCAAATGTTAAAAATAGCACAAAACTTGATCTGAGCTGAAAACTTTAGAACGATGGATATCAAGATTAGTGCTTAAACACCTGGTTTACCCGAGATTATTTTAATACGCATTCGATATCCAAGAAAGAAGTATAAATTTTTTACTTTAAAATTCAACCAATCAGCGTATAATGTTAAGATGTACTCTTTAACTTTTGAAAACCCGGGTTTTTTACTGGTGTTAATTGTGACATATCAATTGAACTAAACATCGATTAAATAAATGTAAGTTTTGGATTAATGTTTGTTAAGACTCGTTTAAACAGATGATAGTCCTAAACTGTGATAAAATATTTTTTTTAATAAGTTCATATTAACATGATTAAATTTATATTTGCTTAAATTCTCTAAAAGCCGGCTTGTGAACAGCTGACTTTAATTCAATCGGATATTAGTTCAATCGATATAGCATTGTATCTGTAATTGTCATCAAACGTAACTTCTTTTACACAGTATGGACATCCAAAAAAGAGGATTTAGAATAAAATCAAAAGTGTGTACATTGGATACTCAGATCAAGGGATCAGGATTAAGAAGGTCCCTTAAAATAACATTTTCTTCTTTTTCCACACTTTTTGAATCTCACCGTATTAGGTTACATGCATATTGAATTAATTTATCATTTCAAAATTATTAGAATCGGGAAGAGTCAACAGAAGAAAAAGAAATAAAGGCAGAAGGTGAGAAACGATGACAAGAATAATCAAATAATAATTTTCTGTATTAACTGTATTTATAAAATGAAAAAATAAAAAATGATAAAATGTTTAAAGTGACCGTTCACTTATTTGTGTAATTTCAGGGTAAACTAAACAGCCTATTCGCTGTTGATTGACAGTTGTCTTTAAAAAGTAAGACTATTACCAATCAACAGCGAATAGGCTGTTTAGTTTACCCTGAAATTACCCAAATAAGTGAACGGTCCCTTTAAAAAAAATATTAGAATAGTTGAAGAGACCCTATAACAAAACATTTTTATAAATAAATACTCTTTTATCATTTCCAAAATTAGATTTATACTCTCTTCGGCACGATTTGACAGAAAAATAGTTTCTATTGTGAAGATTATTAGAAAACATTTTTAGTGAACATCTTACAGGGTGTTTCTAAAAAAGTGTCTTTAAACTTTATTTTATGTAAAACTGAAAATTGTTACTAGAAATCCACACAAATGTGCCCAAGTTTATTTTTTTAAAGACTTTAAAAAAAGTCAAACTTTATTATATTTCATTATTCCTCAAACATCCACAATTCTATCATAAAAAAAACGCCCAATTTAGTCAATTATGTTGATTAATAAATGGCACCATAAGTGTTTCAATTGATTTACTGACAATTTGACAAAAGAGACACAAAGCTCATTTTCGAATTATAGGCAAACTACTGATGGTTGAAACAGTATTGAAAAGTAAAATGTTTCATCTCTCCGCCAGCTAAACCACTCTTTTTCCACAGACACCCTTTTATATAATAGATGTTTTCAATATGCTGTCAGACACAGTAAATATTTGCACATGTGTGCATGGTTGGCAAGCTTATTTTTGCAATAAACTAGATAATAATATTAATCAAAGTCTATAATATGCTTTGCTTTTCTGTTTTTATCCAATAAACGTTAAAACAGCTGAACCAATCAAGCCCAAACTTAGTGTGGGACCTCACATGACCCCAGGAAAGGTTTATGGAAAATAAAATTTCCCAAAATAGCCTCCAACAAAATTCTTCTTTCATTAAATTTGAAAAATCCAGGAACTTTGTTTAGTAAAATGTTATAAAAAGAGAAAATGTGTGTATAAGAAAGCATAATATATATATAAATCGCTAGTATATTGATTATTATTTAATTCAAGTTAGATTTTTTAAGTATCATTTTCTTTAAAAATTTTTAGCTTTTCAAAAAAAAAGTTTTATTAATATAAAAAATTTTATCTTATCGTTAGATTTGAAAAAAAAACAGAACCCAGGGGAGAGGCGGGATATTAAGTTTGGACATAAAAAAAAACTTTAATTACTTTTGATACTTTATTACCAAAAATTCACTTCTAAAAATCATTTCTAGCAAATAAACCACTCAAAAAAAACAGATATGTAGCATAAAGGCATATATAATTACGATTTTCAAAAGGTGAAGGGAAAAAGAAATCATTTTATGAGAAAATATAAAATATATACCCCTGCTGTGCAGTAAACCATTCTTGGAATTCTAATTGAGTTTCAAAAGATGGGAACAGTTCCCTTCACACGAAATTTCGCGAAAAAAGAGAAGATTTTCACGAAGAAAACGAAAAATTTGCGGAACGATTTCCCCATTTGTCTGGAACAGTTCCTTTAACCAACCTGGTTAGGTGTCTCTACTCTTGTTTCACAGATATGCTGAGGAGGTACTTCTCTCCAAACCACAGCTAGTCGAACCATCTGCTCAGCATCCATTAAACCATATCCAAACTAGACAAACCATCTATTAAACCATATCCAAACTAGACAAACCATTTATTAAACCATATCCAAACTATACAAACCATCTATTAAACCATATCCAAACTAGGCAAACCATCTATTAAACCATATCCAAACTAGACAAACCATCTATTAAACCATATCCAAACTAGACAAACCATTTATTAAACCACATCCAAACTATACAACCCATCTATTAAACCATATCCAAACTAGACAAAATATTCATTAAACCATATCCAGACTAGACAAACCATCCATTAAATCATATCCAAACTAGACAAACCATCCATTAAACCATATTCAAACTAGACAACCCATCTATTAAACCATATCCAAACTAGACAAACCATCCATTAAACCATATCCAAACTAGACAAACCATCCATTAAACCATATCCAAACTAGACAAACCATCCATTAAACCATATCCAAACTAGACAAACCATTCATAAAACCATATCCAAACTATACAAACCATCTATTAAACCATATCCAAACTAGACAAACCATCTATTAAACCATATCCAAACTAGACAGACCATCTATTAAACCATATCTAAACTAGACAAATAATCTATTAAACCATATCCAAACTAGACAAACCGTTCATTAAACCATATCCAAACTAGACAAACCATCTATTATACCATATCCAAACTAGACAGACCATCCATTAAACCATATCCAAACTTTACAAACCATCTATTAAACCATATCCAAACTTTACAAACCATTTATTAAACCATATCCAAACTCTACAAACCATCTATTAAACCATATCCAAACTAGACAAACCATCTATTAAACCATATCCAAACTAGACAACCCATCTATTAAACCATATCCAAACTAGATAAACCATCTATTAAACCATATCCAAACTTTACAAACCATCTATTAAAAAATAACCAAACTAGACAAACCATCCATTAAACCATATCCAAACTAGACAAACCATCTATTAAACCATATCCAAACTAGACAAACCATCTATTAAACCATATCCAAACTAGACAAACCATTCATTAAACCATATCCAAACTATAAAAACCATCTATTAAACCATATCCAAACTAGAAAAACCATCCATTAAACCATATCCAAACTAGACAAAATATTCATTAAACCATATCCAAACTATACAAACCATCCATTAAACCTTATCCAAACTAGACAAACCATATATTAAACAATATTCAAACTAGACAACCCATCTATTAAACAATATCTAAACTAGACAAACCATATATTAAACCATATTCAAACTAGACAAAATATTCATTAAACCATATCCAAACTATACAAACCATTTATTAAACCATATCCAAACTAGACAAACCATCTATTAAACCATATCCAAACTAGACAAACCATTCATTAAACCATATCCAAACTAGACAAACCATCTATTAAACCATATCCAAACTAGGCAAAATATTCATTAAACCATATCCAAACTAGACAAACCATTTATTAAACCATATCCAAACTAGACAAACAATCCATTAAACCATATCCAAACTAGACACCATCTATTAAACCATATCCAAACTAGACACCATCTATTAAACCATATCCAAACTATACAAACCATTTATTAAACCATATCCAAACTAGACACCATCTATTAAACCATATCCAAACTAGACAAACCATCTATTAAACCATATCCAAACTAGACAAACCATTTATTAAACCACATCCAAACTATACAACACCATCTATTAAACCATATCCAAACTAGACAAAATATTCATTAAACCATATCCAAACTAGACAAACCATCTATTAAACCATATCCAAACTAGACACCATCTATTAAACCATATCCAAACTAGACACCATCTATTAAACCATATCCAAACTAGACAGACCATCTATTAAACCATATCCAAACTTGACAAACCATCCATTAAACCATATCCAAACTAGACAAACCATCCATTAAACTATATCCAAACTATACAAACCATCTATTAAACCATATCCAAACTAGACAAAATATTCATTAAACCATATCCAAACTAGACAAACCATCCATTAAACCATATCAAAACTAGACAAACCATCCATTAAACCATATCCAAACTAGACAAAATATGCATTAAACCATATCCAAACTAGACAAACCATCCATTAAACCATATTCAAACTAGACAAACCATCTATTAAACCATATCCAAACTAGACAAACCATCAAACCATATCCAAACTATACAAAATATCTATTAAACAATATCCAAACTAGACAAACCATCTATTAAACCATATCCAAACTAGACAAACCATCCATTAAACCATATCCAAACTAGACAAACCATCTATTAAACCATATCCAAACTATACAAAATATCTATTAAACAATATCCAAACTAGACAAACCATCTATTAAACCAAATCCAAACTAGACAAACCATCCATTAAACCATATCCAAACTATATAAACCATCTATCAAACCATATCCAAACTAGACAAACCAAATATTTAACCATATCCAAACTAGACAAACCATCCATTAAACCATATCCAAACTATACAAACCATCTATTAAAACATATCCAAACTAGACACACCATCTATTAAACCATATCCAAACTATACAAACCATTCATTAAACCATATCCAAACTATATAAACCATCTATTTAACCAAATCCAAACTAGACAAACCATCTCTTAAACCATATCCAAACTATACAAACCATCTATTAAACCATATCCAAACTAGACAAACCATCTATTAAACCATATCCAAACTATACAAACCATCTATTAAACCATATCCAAACCATGCAAACCATCCATTAAACCGTATCCAAACTATACAAACCATTCATTAAACCATATCCAAACTAGACAAACCATCTATTTAACCATATCCAAACTATACAAACCATCTATTAAACCATATCCAAACTACAAGAACCATCATCCACTATACCGAAATCGGAAAATTTTTGTTCAAAATTAATAACAGAATGTTTAGACATAAAATTTTATGAGATATCCATAACATAATTTCAAACTAAATTTGTAAATTTGAAAGATTTTCATTCCTATGAGAATGTTGGGTTTCTCCTTAATAGTGGAAAATAGTCTGTATATCAGCTACTTTAATATTTATATGTATTTTCAAATACTTCAAAGTTCTCTGAGAGTAGTTTTCTTATTTTATTTTTCCCAACTTTTCTGTTTTGAGTGTTAGAAACCTTAATGATGCTTTCAAGAAATTACTAACCAAAAATATTGTAAAATTTACATTAAAAATTACATAATTTGATAAGCAGGGACTGCTTTTTAATCCTTATTTTTCCTAACTTTTCTGTTTTGAGTGTTAGAAACCTTTATGGGAGTGTTCTCAGAAACATTATAAGAGGGTATAGGCTGACATTGAATTAAATTCAATATCGATCGCTACTAATCTTATTTTTATCTGTGAATTTGTCACGCCATTAAGTATAAAACATTGTAAAACATTTTCTCCTTATAGACCCATCAGATGAAAGTAAAATTACATCGATAACGAATTCAATTTGACATCAGCGCCTTTACCCCTTTAATTTTTCGCAAACACTCCCTTTAATGATACTTTCAAGAAATTATAAACCCAAAATATTGTAAAATTTATTTCTAAAATACGTAATTTGGTAAGAAAGATTTTTAATCCTTAATTTTCAATATTTTCCTGTTTAAAATGTTAAAAAAAAACTTTATGAACCATTCAAAAACTTACAAACCAAACCGTAAAATTTACGTTTAAATATACATTTTTGGTAAGTAGGGATAGCTTTTTAATCCTTATTTTCAATAACTTTTCTGCTTAGAGTATTAAAAACCTTACTGGTGCTTTCAATAAATTACAAACCAAAAATATTGTAAAATTTACATTTAAAATACGTAATTTGGTAAGTAATTCAGAAAGTTTTCTGTTTTGAGGGTTAAAAATTTTAAAACCATCTCAATTCATCTTTTCTTACCATTTTGTTTTTATTTTAAAAATATTTATTTGTGAGAAAATGCTAATTCTACAACGTTTAGGATATTAATAGCTGAGGAATAAGTGCTTTATCCCACAACAGACAAAAGACAGGAATGATTTGGTTTAAAAAAGTTTTAACCTCTGGTAACCATTTTTAGTTTTTAGATTTATTTTTCGACTTTTTTCCTCCTATAACTCCTCCTCTCCTTACCCCTCTCCTATAACTCCTCCTCACTCCTCCTCCTCTCCTTACCTCTCTCCTATAACTCCTCCTCACTCCTCCTACTCTCCTTACCCCTCTCCTATAACTCTTCCAATAACTCCTCCCCATTCCTCCTCTCCTTACCCCTCTCCTACTATATTGAAAAAGTTCTTTAGTTTATATCTCTTCTTTGTCTTTACTAAGCTTTTTCTTCCCACCGAATTCACCTCCCAGCCTAAAACAATTAATATAAAAATAATAAAACAATTGATCAGTGCTATAGAATCTACAGTGGTCTCCAAAAAAATAAGGAATACACCAACGACTTTAATCTTCTAAAGATTGCTTCAATATTGTCTTTCTGTTACATAGTTTTATGATAATTATTTAGATGTGGATCAAGCCTATGCATACTTATAAAGTTTTACAAATTTCTTTCATAAAAAAACTACAATTTTCTTTTTTTGGTGATTTCATACAAAAAAAAATAAACTTGATTAACCATTCAAGGATTGGGAACTTCATATTTATCTCTCATTACCATTTGAAATTAGTTTCTATAAATCGTTGAACGTTAGCAGAATTGAACGCAATAATAAACTTTGTACTGCATGATCAATAAGATAGATCAATTAGGATTCGTAACAAAAAGCTTTATCATTTATGGAACCTTTACTAAAGCTATAAATAATGAAAAGCCATTAAACACTTTCAGAAATTAAGAGCGAAACCTTTCTTTGCCGATTTTTATTTAAATCCACCCCCGACATACTAGAATTGAATGCAATAATGTACAACTTTTCTTTGTTCTGCATGATAACCAATAATCAACAGAATCATTGTTGTTCTTCATTTTTCTTAGACCGAGAACGGGTCTAAATTACGATTTTCGGGACTAATTAGAAAATTTCATTAGAATGAATCATTTTGAAAAATAACATAAGGCTTATATAAGAAGCTTCTTGCGGAAAATGATAAGTTTATCGAGTATTAAGGGTTTATTTTTGTGTTAAAGATTAGAGATAATCTAATATGATATGGGACGCTCTGTATGTTATTAAAGATAGTTATAAAATGTACCCTGGACAATTTTTCAGAGATATATTAGGTATGATAGAATACAGTACTATTATTTGTATAGCTAGGTATGTTCAGACTTTTTTTTAACCTCTTCGTTAACGGTTGGCTAAAACCGTTCAATAGGCCAACTTTTTAGGTTTACATTCGTTCTTAGCTAAGAACAATGAACATCAATTCAGTTACAGTATTTTCTGTTTTAATTTTTAAGTTACCAAATCTCAAATTTATTAAAGATTGTTGATGGAGATCTTTTTGTTCCTTAAAAATTTCAAAATGAACAGTTTTAGCCATTCATTAACAGAATTTTTAAGGAACCTTTGTCCAGCCCTAGTTATTAAATATTGCAGAGAGTGAAGATTATGTTTTCATTTGGGATTGGAGATCCTATAAAATTGTTCCTCCATCATTTTTTTTCTGAACATCGTTTACAAAAAATGTGGTTTGTTCGGAAAAATTTGTTCTTTAACAAAAACGATGCCCATCTCTACCTGGTATGTAATATAGATAGATTATGACCTGGTTCATGTCTAAGAGGTTCTGGATTAGCTGTGTAAATAGCAATATGCTGCACATCTCTCCAGTTCAGCTCTGGATTCGCCTCTGAACAGTTATTCTTAGATTTTACAATTATTAATGCTCCAGAGGGATATCTATTTTTATCTATTTCCCCCCCATCCCTTCCGTAAAAACAGTAGTCCCGTTTGGTTAAAATTCTGGTTTTTTAATAAAATGAGTAATAAGCAGAGAGGGTATCAAAAAAAGGCTAAAAACTTGCAAGTTAAAATATTTTTTTTCAAGAGACTAAATTTGAGAAATAGAAAATTCTTTTTTTCTTTATTGATATGTAAAATTTTCATCTAAGGGTCATGTTTTATTGGTTTAAAGTTGGGATAATATAAGATTATTAGAAAAAAATTCTAATTTATTATTCTGGTAAAAAGTATCATAAAGGAGTAAAACCTTGCTGGTTAATGACCATGAACTTTTCATTTCCTCCACTCCACAAACGAGTCCTCGGAAATCATATTTTTACCCATGAAAATACAAACCTAATGCTAGAGCACAGACTGCAGCTGCTAGTGGGGCAGATGCAGAGGTTCCTGTATGGGCTGAGGTACATAAATGGTCTCTACGTAACCTAAATAATATAGTTTTTAATTAAGACCTAAAATTTCTATTGTCTCAGTCCCCCCTTTCAAATTACTGAAACATTAGATTAAACTATTTTTTTCTATCATTGACGAAAGAGTTCAGGCAATTTTTTTTCAAATCTGAGATGTTCAAAAGGGTTTTGACAAAATTCTTCTAGACTTGAGATGCTTTCACAAACCCTTCCCAGCATCTTAGATCAAGATTTCTTTTTTATAAAAGCAATTGCCTGAACGGTATCAGGGAAAAACATTTTTATTTTTGAGGTTGAAATGTAAAACCCTGGCTTGAATTGCTAGAACTTATAATGCATTGACCTGGGCAGCCTGTTCTTTCCATTCTTTTAGATAATTAAGGTTATTTTTCAGTTTTCATGTTACTCACAAATGTCTATGAAATCAGAGGCCAAACTTAAAGAATTTTGAGCCGCTGCTTAAATTTGAGCCGCAGCTCAAATATGGCAGGTTCCACTTAAAATTGTATTAAATTTTTCAAGGGTTAAGCCGCCGCTCAACTGAAACCGGTTTTTGAAGGTTTTGAAATGCGACTTAAATTAATTACATTCGGACACTGAATAATTACAAAATCTTATTCTTTTTTATTATTTTTTCTTCTTTTTAGGCTTTATCTTCTGGAATGTTTAATTTTTGTGCAACCCAGGTCTAATAATGCAGACCTCCAATGATAAATCTACCTTGCATCCTGATCTACTGTTGTAATACTTGCATCTTGTCCAGGTGTTCCAGAACTATATGTTGTAGCTAGAGTACTAGAACACTCCTCAAGATACCAAGGTTTTAAACCTCCCTTAGAACAAAATAGATGAATAAATTTAAGACTTTGATTTAAGATAAGGGTATATATTTAAATTTGAGGAATAACCAACAATTGATATCACACTACAGGGTTTTTTACCTTAAACAAATTTTGATGCAATTTTGCCCACATTTTAAAGCCATATTGGGCAAATGATGATGTATGCATGTGTACTGTCTATTATTGTTTGAAATGATTGTTACCTTTCGAAAAAAAATTTTGAAAACATTTAAATTTCATTTTATGAATGATATTTGGGCAATCGTTTCCATGTAGATTGCCTAAGGACAAGCAAAAATGTGCAATATTTGTGCAAAATGGTTTTTAAATTTTGCTGGAAACCTTGCTTTATAATTTTTCAAGTCCCATTTCTAATATCGGAAATATATCCTCCTGAAATTATAAATTCTTGTTTAAAATTTTCTTTGAAAATTAATTTCAACCAGGCTTAAACAGTGTTTAATAAACTCAAAACATAATTCTCATCTATCACTCAAATTAATGTTATAATGAGAAACTAAATGAATACAGGCTTGTTTGAAATTTCATCAAAAAATTTATCTAATTTTGTAGTTTGATATTTGTTGTCATTCAACATGCGAACATTTAAAGTTTTAATATCCTGGAGGATTGCTTTTAATTTGATACTTTTAGATATAATATATAAAAAATGACCAAAGAAAGTTCAAACCACAAGAGAATCAAATTAAGTATTAATATGATAGAATTGGCTTCAACTCTTTAAGTAGTGCTGAACAAAGTTCACTGAAGAATTATAATTATCTATCATTAGCACTTGCGCATTGAAAAAAACTGCTTTATGATTGATTAACAGTAATAAAACATTGTTATAAAGGGAACAAATTAAAAAAAAACTTTTAGGTGTGGTGTGCCTGTAACTGGGCACTTTAGTCATCAGCTGAAAACTTAAGAATAAAATATCCTTAAACCTGATCAGTTAATTGATCTGGAGATTAAAACCATGAAGAGAACAAGAGATTAAAAAAAAGATTGAATCAAGGATTAATCCTGATATCCACCATTCAAAAGTTCCCAGCTCTGTTAACATTATCATTTTACTTTAATAAGTTACCGTTTCTTAATGACAACATTAACAGAATAGATTTTAGAAACCGTTAATTTTAAAAACTTGCTGCTCGTTAACAGAACCTTGCCCATCTCTAGGTGTACCTGGGTTGCAGAGGATATGGAGAGAGTGAATACACTGTTTGTGTATCCATCACAGTTACAGTTATCTATATGATGACCTCCATTCCCGCTTGCCCATACGAATAGAGATCCCTACGCAAGAGCAAGGTATTTATAATTTTTAGAACTTCCGCACTGTTCACAATCACATTTATTAATACTATTACCTAAAAATATTACTAACTTTTCCCTTAAAAACAATTGTTCTTCTAATTTCAAGTAAAACCCAAAGTTTTTAACATTCCTAACATTTAAAGGAATTAATGAATTTTAAGAAAAAAAGTAGCCCTGGTTTAATAGTGATATATTGTTGCGCAATTGAAGAGATACATATTTCGTTAAATAGAAAGATTTAATGTTAAATTCCGATTGTATGTTTGTTTAATTTTTTCAGCCAACAAACCCTCCTTGCCGGTCACTCCCTTTAACTAAAACATTGTTAAGAATATCGACCCACAAATAATTTGACGAATCCTGGCCAAAAAAAAACATTTTTAAAACTCCCATTTACAATATTCAAAAAGAAGAAAAAAAGATATATAGATCTAACTATCTTGAAAAAAGAATTGAAGGGAACTCTCGCTGATAAAAAAGATAACCTACAATTATAATTAACCCATTAAAGGGACTGTAAGCGTAATTCAAAGGGATCCTTCATGCAAAGAAGGCAATGCCTGATTTTCGAAAATACCCTTTGTATTAGAATATGATTTCTAATTAGATATCAATGTTTATACTTTACTAAACTGATTCTTTTCAATTATGGCTTCTTTTTAAATTGACTTGCGCATCTCTTCTGCAGGAGAACATTAAGAAATTTCAGATATGAAAATTTTAGAAGTTAATCAAGACCCATTAGAGTTCTATCTGATGTTCTTGTCTCGAGAATATGATATAAAACTTTATCAAACTTAAACGATTTATATATATAAAATTTTGTATAAAAATCGTAGGTTAAACAGATTTTATTCTTCAAATAAGCAACCAATCTGAAAACAACGATATCACAGAGGAACCTGATCAACTCCTAAAATGCTTAAGTTTTAGCCTCTACCCCCTTTCAATTTTCCTTTACAGTCCCTTTAAGTAAAAAAAGTGCAAAATTAAAACAGACTTGTTTTACCTTTCCTCCTCGTCCCTTGTTAATCCCGTTAATGAAAGCCTGCTTAGCAAGTGGTCCAGGACCATCTACTGTTTTACCTAAACAAACAAACTGTTCTCGTGTCTTACTCAATTATTTTTTTTCTGGTTGTTTTTAATTAACGACCATTTGAAAACCTTCATTATTTTGCATGAAAAGTGTTTGCATTAAAAAGATTTTAAATCCTAATTTTTTACGAACAAAAAGACTTTAAACAATTTAATTAGTCAAGAACCATTTTGTAATCCAAAATACAAACATGCAAGCCCATTATTTTCTTTTTATGTTCTATATTGAGAACAAATTAATATTTTACAAGGACTGATTAAAAACATTGGTTGTCTGTCTATTGAGTGTCTGCCTATTTACCCAATGTCTGGGCGATACAGTACAAACTGGGGCCGGAAAGGTTGACCCGGCTGGGAAATTCAAATGTACTACGGCTGCCCGTGAATGGAGAAAATTATTGCGGAAACCTTATATTTTCTTTCCTATTGTCCAATTAAGTGACACAAAATAAACTTAAGCAAATTTTTTTGTTTTTATTTGATTCATCTTAATAACCAACCCACCTTCTAATAGTACAATTGTAAGCCATCAAATTTTACATATATATTAAAAATTGTAACAATGAATAGCTCAAAATATTCATATTTAATCAAATATTTTGCCTGATTTTAAATTGTAAATTGAAAATTTGACAGGGTGATATATATCTTAATTAGTAATTAAATTGGGCCATATGATGACACTTTTTTCATAGACATAAAACACCAAAAGAATCAGGCCAGACACCTACACAAGGAAAAGGTTGCATATATATATATTTTTGTTATTAAACCATTGATTATTCAATATTTGATATTTAATTCCAATACAGATTTGACTGATTAAATGCATCCACTTTTTCACAACAGTATTTATTTATAAAATAAATTCAATATTGTTTTGTAACTTACAAGTAAAATTCTTGAATTTACGTCAAGCACTTAACAGCTGTTTACATTATTTATGTAAACTTGACGAGATTTCATTTAATTAATGGTTTGTACTTACAATGTTTAAACTACAAGCTGTGACATAATTCTTAAAACTTTCATAAACTAATAAAACATTTAAAACCTGTCAATTTTTCTAAATGCTTATTATACTTTTCTTTTTCATAAGATACTCTCTATATGATTAAATTTGAGATGTATTGCCTATTTTCCGTTTCTTGAAATGTACTGAAATATAATCTGTACAATGACAACAACGAGGATATGACATTGTATCTTTGACAAGGGGCTTTAATAAACCTGAGGCCAAATTTAAAGAATTTGAGCCGCGGCTCTAATTTAAGCTGCGACTCAAATATGGTTGGTTCCACTTAAAATTGTATTACATTTTTCAAGATTTAAAACGGAGGTCAATTGAAACCTGTTTTTAAGGGATTTGAGATGCGGCCTAAATTCATTAAATTTGGATATTGGCCGTAAAACATCTTGTAGAGTTATTAAGTAAATTCTTTAGTTTTCTGATAAAGTACGCCTTAAAAATTGTACTACTTTTAAATACAAGTTTTCACAAAAGCTTTGCAGAGTGGCGTATTTTAGTTATTCCAAAAAAATACATACTACCTCAGTGATAAGTCAGAAACAAATAGTAGGCTGAATAATTATTATGAAGAAATATTGGAGGCAAATTGTGATAATCAGGTTAAAATGGGGGAGAGGTAAATATGATCCAATTTTAGAAACTAATTACTGCATTCAGTTCCTAGCAATTAAGGGAAAACTGATTTTCAAGGTAAAGGGCAGCAAATATTTTTTAATTTTTAAAACTTGTCATCTCCCTTAGGTCCTAAGGAGGCAAGAGGCAAAGTCATATTCAAGGTAGAGGGAAGCAAATATGTTAAAATGTTTAACTTACCATCATCCTCAGGCCTCCAGAAGACGAGAGGGGCAAAGTGATTATGAAGGTTAATAGGAGAAGGGGTTAATATTTTATAATTTTTAAACTTACCATCATCCTTAGGGCCCAAGACCGGAGACAAAGGGACAAAGTCATGATCAAAATAAAAGTGGGGAGGGGGGGGGTAAATATTTTTCACGTTTTAAACTTACCATCGTCCTCAGGTCCCCAGGAGGCCGAGTATATATCTGGAGGTAAATTCAATTTAAACATTGTTCACATTTTTCTCAAATCTCAACATTGTTTCATAGTTTCTCAAACATGTAAGATAAAATATTTGAGATAATGTAATGTCATGTAATTAAACAGCTTGATACATGTCATTTTAAGAGGAGGGGTTAACATCTTTTTAAGTTTGTTGACTTTTAGTGAAATAGTAAGACGACAGTAAAGCAATCTTTTGTTGATTTGATGTAGTTCTAAAGTAAATAGTAGATTGAATATCAACTAATTACGTGAAATGGTTCTGTTTACAGTGCACAATTGCTATTTTTCATGTTCATTGGACTAATAAAATTCATAACTTGAGTTTAAAGTCGTCTCCTTCCTCCACACTTTTATGAGTATTACCGTATATTAATTTAAGAACAAACAAAAACTAATAAAAAAGGTATATTTCAAACTTTTTTGGCCTTTTTGTCAATTTCACTCAGACTTGCTATTAAGAGAAGTAATATTTGATATACAGTGAATTAGCTCCAGTAAACTAAAGAGAAGTAATATTTGATTATAGTGAATTAGCTCCAGTAAACTAAAGAGAAGTGTTTATTAAGATCTCAAGAAAATAAGCTTTAAAACATTAGGCCTGTTTGAAGACTTTTGAAATCAAACAATTTTCTTAAAATATGAATTTCAAAAAAATTACAGCTTTAAAAATTAAATAAAAAAAAGTAAAGGAATTGAGTTTTTGCCACAAACTCTGATTTTCTAATCACTATATCTTTGGAACCAAACGTTGCATACCTTAGATATTTCAAACTATGTATTCTGTTAGATCACTGAGTTTGAAATATCAAAGGTTTACAACATCAAGTTCTAAAGATATTGAGGTTTAAATATTTGATTTTGTTCCAACGACTCAATTCCTTTATCATGTATAAAAATGAAATAAAAAAAGTAAATTGATCATGTATGAAAAGAATTTTTGATCATGATTTGTTTTATTTCACTATAGTAAAGAAAAGAGGTTGAAACTTTTGTATAAAATAGCACTTATCTTCAACACCTGAACTATATCTATATAATAGGAACGTTCATAATAATTGGTCCGATATCCAACAAAGAACCTGAGTTCTTGTCAAAAACTCAAATTTTCTAACCACTATTTCTTTGCAACCTGATGGTGCAAACCTTTGATATTTCAAACTTATATTATTTGATCTAACAGAATTCATAGTTTGAAATATCTAAGGTCTACGACATTTGGTTACAAAGATATTGGGATCAGAAAATCAGAGTTTGTGGCAAAGACTCAATTCCTTTACTTATTCTCTTATGATTGAACAAAACAAACGTTACAACCTCTGAGCTGAAAACTTTAGAATTGGATTCCCTTAATACCAACCACTTAATCTGAATGTCCTCTATGGACACTTTTGATTACTGCTTAATCCTCGTTTTTGAATATATACTGGATTCCGACCAACAAGAGTTTTTTCATTAAATGGCGCTCAAAATTTCAAATTTCCTCTCTTCTAATTTGCTGTTCGGTTTTCCACCGACGCTCTGATTTGTTGCATTAAAGATACTTTCCTAGATACAAACTAAAGATTAAAATAGTTTTAAGAAAAAAAAGAGGAGATCAAGCATTAGTCTCGATACCCAAAGTTCTAAAGTTTTCAGCTCTGTTCTCCATATATCCCACATACAACCGAATATTTTATGTAATGTTTTGATGAATTGTTCCTATATGAGATGGGTTAAGGGATAGGCTTCTTGCTTCCACAGCATCATTCACCATACCATCCAGCATACGTACACCTAGATACCAGGCATACATTAGTTTTTAACAACATAGGGCTGTACATCATTCAACATACCATCCAACATACGTACACCTAGATACCAGGAATACATTAGTTTTTAACCACATAGGACTGTACATCATTAAACATACCAACAAACTTATGTACACCTAGAAACCAGGCATACATTAGTTTTTAACCACATAGGGCTGTACATCATTCACCATACCATCCAGCATATGTACACCTAGATACCAGGCATACATTAGTTTTTAGCAACATATGGCTGTACATCATTCACCATACCATCCAACATACGTACACCTAGATACCAGGGTTTTTAACCACATAGGACTGTACATCATTAAACATACCAACAAACTTATGTACACCTAGATACCAGGCATACATTAGTTTTTAACAACATAGGGCTGTACATCATTCAACATACCATCCAACATACGTACACCTAGATACCAGGCATACATTAGTTTTAACAACATAGGACTGTACATCATTCACCATACCATCCAGCATACATACACCTAGATACCAGACATACATTAGTTTTAACAACATAGGGCTGTACATCATTCACCATACCATCCAGCATACGTACACCTAGATACCAGGAATACATTAGTTTTTAACAACATAGGACTGTACATCATTCAACATACCATCCAGCATACGTACACCTAGATACCAGGCATACATTAGTTTTAACAACATAGGGCTGTACATCATTCAACATACCATTCAGCATACGTACACCTAGATACCAGGCATACATTAGTTTTAACAACATAGGACTGTACATCATTCACCATACCATCCAGCATACATACACCTAGATACCAGACATACATTAGTTTTAACAACATAGGGCTGTACATCATTCACCATACCATCCAGCATACGTACACCTAGATACCAGGCATACATTAGTTTTAACAACATAGGACTGTACATCATTCACCATACCATCCAGCATACGTACACCTAGATACCAGACATACATTAGTTTTAACAACATAGGGCAGTATTAAACATACCATTCAACATACGTAGTATGAACACTTGGACACCAGGATTACATTAGATTTTAGCATATATAGGGCTGGGCATTAATATTACAAGATATATTTTGTGCACTATCTTGTTCTGTAGTATGCTATGTATGCTGTACAACTTGATCTAGCCGCCTAAAAGTTGACTGTGCACTCAAAATAAATTGATAAATTAATGTATATTGTATATATATGCATAAAAAATTGTTTATTTTATGTTTAATCTTCCAAAATAGAAACTCCGGAGAATTTTAAAGATGGATTTTGCAATTTTCTCTTTAATTCTGCACTCACAGCTCAACTACCCTAACTACCCGTCACCCCCTTTAACAGAATTTAATTTTAATATTTAAAAATCTTAAAATCATTTGCATACGTTAGCCCAGCCTTACTTTTTAGCATAGGTATTACGCTAGCATATCTTTTAAGTATTGGTATTAGGGCTTGGCAATATTCAAATAAAAAACTGAAGAAAAAATTTAATTTCGTTTATAAAATTACATTTCCAAACAGAAAAATCACTGTTGGTAAAAATTAATAGTTGCTTAAAAGGGCAGCCTGTTTTGAATTCAAACACGAATACAGCATGAATACTTTTTAGAATAAGCACATAGATCCATACTGTAATAAAATATAAAGTTTTCAACAAAAATCATGAAGGAAAAAACATTAATCACAAAAAAAAATAATCCGAAAAATAATAAAAAATATGTTTTAAATTATTCTCTGATAAGTCTACTCAATATTGTAAATTCCCTATTTCATTTTTATAAAGCTTTAAATTTACGATTTAATTACTAAAGGAAATGTTAACGAATACAAATAAAATAAACATGAGGCCGAATTTAAAGAATCTTCTATCTGAACTGGACTGTAGATATAATTTCAAGTACTCCTCCATTATAAGAGTGGCATGTCCAATTCATAAATAATGATATCAAATCTATATTTATACTGAAGTCAGTATTGATTATGTATATTAATAATGTTTAGCTTTTTGGAAAGCCTATAGCATAATAAAACGGATTGCAAAAGTTTTTCAAAACAATTATTTGCAAATTATTTGCATACAACCTGTCAACAAAATTTACACAATTTTAGTTTTCTTAATTACACATCAGGTTATTTAAAATTTTGCAATTTTTTTTGGCATATTTAGAACGGTATGGTCATAGAGAATAGAATATATAGAGAGGAATTAAAAGAATCTCTCGGTATGAATTTGTTCAGTCCCTTTCAGCCTGAAAGGGAGTTCAAAATGTACAAATCATGTAAATGTTCACAAATTATATGCAGTAGAGTACATTAATACAGTATGTTCCCTAGACTATCCATTTCAATTTCAATTTTTTTAAACTGTTAAATAAACTTTATAATGAATTAGGTGAATAAAAACATCATTTGATTTATAGTTATAACGGAAAATCATCGTTTGTAAAGTGGAAGGCATAGAGTCTATGTGAAATGATCATTGGTCAATCATGAAACCAGCCTATTTCATAATTTTGTTTTCTTTTAACAATAATTTTAGATTTTCCATAAAATGATATTCCAGGGCCCAACAGGTTATATAGCATAAATATGTGAAGTACACCTGCAGTATGGAAACAGTACAACAAAATGGCCGTTTTACACTTTTTTCTAGTAAATTCCTCTCTATATATTCTTTTCTCTATGGGTATGGTCAAGGGCTTTTGAAAGATGTATATCATTTTATCATTGTTTTACAAACATTTTTACTATGTAACTAGATTTGGCAAAACCAAAAATTCAAGGGGGCTCAAATTGACCTGCCCCCCCCCAGCATATCCTGGTTTTAAGTACCCCAGCAGGGATAGGGTTAAATAAAATACATGCGTAATTTCAAGTGACCCTTCCATTTATAGAGTGGCAAGTCCGACGTACCTTTGAAACCTTTATTTCTCCATCGTTTCTGAAGGAATTGAAATGCATGAGTCACTTTTGTAAACAAACCACAAATAAAAGTTATTAGTTTTTGAAATAAGATACATGTATATCTAATGCAATACTTAATCAGACAAATCTTTGAAGGGTATTGTTGTGAATCAGAATTGAAGTCACTTTAAACCTCTTAATTGATTCTATATTAATTAAACTGCTTTTTAGGTTTGTGAACGTTGGAAAAATGAAAAAAAGAAATACAAAATGATTTTTAAAAAAGATAATGAAGAGCTTTAAAAGTATTGCCTCTAAAATAATGAATTCAAGGTTTTCTTCAACAAATCTCCAGTCCCCCCCTGCCTGCCCCCTTCCTAGGGCCTGTGCACCCAGGCCCCCCTGTATGCCCCTACACGTTACTGATTTAAAATGTGACTTAGAATGCGTTCCTGATTTTAATGTTCTTTTTAAGCAATTTACGTTCGTTCCACATTCGTTCTTTTAATAATCGTTAAAATATTTTTAATAACGCGTTCTATGTGCTAGTTCTTTTTTTTAGAATGATTGGATTGTTCTGGATAATTTTGTTCGTTCTTGTGAAAGAATGATCTCTACCCAGTAATGACGCTCAGCGAGGGGGGGGGGGAGACCAGAACTCCTCAACTGGTAATCACCGCCACCCAAATGTGTTTTGCGGTAAGCGCGCTCCTCAATTGGTAATCTCCACCACCTCAATTGGTAATAAGCCAAAAAAAAAGCGTAACATTAAATAAGTTATTTCTTAGAAATAAGACTATATTGACAAATCGGGACACAACAAAAATTGATAAGCTCTTTTGAGGGAGGTTCCATTGGAGGAAAGGGGGGGGGGAGAGAAAATATTCCTGTCAGAAATGTCTAAGAGATAACCCCTATATTAATCTAACTAGATTTCAAATTGTTCAAATAAATTGTTGCAAGGCAGATTGTAAAGTTCTCTGGTCCTGCTTAAAATTAGCAATAAATCTGAGTGAAAGAGATTTACTGGGTTAGTTTAACAATTTATGAAACCTTGTTCCTTATATTGGATTTCTAGATACAGGGTGTTCCTTATATTGGATTTCTAGATAGGAGTATACAAGGTGATCCTTATATTGGATTTCTAGATACAGGGTGTTCCTTATATTAGACTTCTAGATAGGAGTATACAAGGTGATCCTTATATTGGATTTCTAGATAGGAGTATTCAGGGTGATCCTTATATTGGATTCTAGAGAGGTGTATACAGGGTGATCCTTATATTGGATTTCTAGATAGGTGTATACAGGGTGATCCTTATATTGGATTTCTAGATAGGAGTATACAGGGTGATCCTTATATTGGATTTCTAGATAGGAGTATACAGGGTGATCCTTATATTGGATTTCTAGATAGGTGTATACAGGGTGATCCTTATATTGGATTTCTAGATAGGTGTATACAGTTGTTCCTTATATTAGATTTCTAGATAGGTGTATACAGGGTGATCCTTATATTGGATTTCTAGATAGGAGTATACAGGGTGATCCTTATATTGGATTTCAAGATAGGAGTATACAGGGTGATCCTTATATTGGATTTCTAGATAGGAGTATACAGGGTGATCCTTATATTGGATTTCAAGATAGGAGTATACAGGGTGATCCTTATATTGGATTTCTAGAAGAACTGGGTCATTGGCTTCATAGGAACGAGAGTGGTACCTCCAATACAAGTAACAGAAAACAGTCTTGGATCAAAGAAGTATGAAACAAGGCCTTCTCCAGAATGAAAAGCGAATATGACTCTTTTAGACTATTTTATGAATTGTGCAGAGGCACCCTGTAAGTCTCAATTCCTTTAACTGTCTGTTGTTTCCATGATTTTACTGTTTGTTATCACTTGCAGTTTAATTTTTAACTTCTAACTCTGTTATTGCATCATGTTTCAAATTAGCTTTAAGGAGAAACTCAAATCTTCAAAGTAGAAAATAATAAAGTAATCTTGAAAAAATTTAATAATTTACTCAAATCAAATAAGAAAAAAAAGTTATTTTATTAAGAAAACATCAAACATGAAGGAGGAAGATTATTGAAGGGACAATTTTAATCAACCTGCAATGTAAAGAGCGTCAGGTCTGATTATCAATGGTAGCCTTTCGAATTCATTTCTGTTTTTCCATAGAGATGCTTATAATTGTTACTAACTACAGTGATTACCAGAAAACTCTGGAATAGAAAGACGACTTTTAGAATCAAGTTACAACTTTGAAAAGTCCAATGAGCATTATAAACAGAAATTGTGAAGTGTAAACAGACCCATTTCACTAAATTATTGATTTAGTAAAACTATTTGCTTTGTAAAAACATTAGTATTGGTATAATGTCGCCTTCCTATTCCTTTGTTTTCTGGTTATCACTGTATAAAAAACTATGAAAACTTTGAAAATATGATTTTCCATTTTCCAGAAGTCTCAGAAAATAAATATTTTCATGTGGTTTTTTTAAAAACTCCGTTTTACATGAAATATTAGGAAATTTAGGAATTCTAGAACAGTACCTTAAAGCAATAAGAAATTGAGTCTTTGCCACAAACCTACATGTTTGCAACCCAATGTCATAGATTAAATTATCTAAACTTGAAATATCAAAGATATAGGGATTCGAATATTTGAGTTTGTTGCAAAGACTTAATTACTTTAGCAAAAAAAAACGTTCATGAAAATAGAAAATAGAAGACGACTTGAAATTATGTCTACAGTTCCTTTAACATTTAAAAATAGGTTTCACTTTTGTTGTGGGAATTTAAAAGTGCTTTTTTTTCAAAGGAAAAAATAAATACCTTTTTGTTTGTGTATAGAAGTAGGAAAGAGAACAAATGATCAAAGGGTGAAAATTTTATTATTGTGTTCAAAATTTTAAAAAGAGAGAAATGAATTATAAAAAAATATGATGAAAAGATGAAAAGTATAAAAGGGACTATACACATAAATCATGGTCCTTCACATGTAGTATGAAAACTACGATTTACAATGTATACTCAGCGGTTTTATAATGAAGAAACAATGAAGGAAATTGTCAGAATTCAACATGTTTTATGACAATCGGCAATATATTCCTCAATGTTGCTCAGAATGAGGTTTAAAGGTACTGGTTTTAATCAAATATGCCTCTCATTAAATTAACTGCAGGGGCTCACTTGAAAATACGTGTACACTCCCTTTAAGGAAATTTGAACGTATTTTGTATTCATCTTTTTCATAAATAATCTCCAATACACAGAACACATAAAACGAGAAAAAAAACATAATAGAATTATAAAATGATGAATGAAGTTACAGAAAAAGGAACATAAAATAGACGAAAGGCTTCATAAGCTTTACAAAACAATCAAAAAAGATAAATATTTTTTGAATTTTACTTTTGTAGTCTTCATTTCAAACATTTCAAACATCATACAGCAAATAACATCCTGTCTGAATCGAAATATGTTCAGTCATATTTTTATGTCTAATTCAAAATCCGTCGCATAAACAGCCTGAAAAACTTTATAACTAAAATATGAAACACTAACAAAAAAGTTAAAAACATGAAATATGAAAAATCGTACAAATCCTAAAAATGTTTTTTTTACTTATTCTGCAATATGTTTAACTATAAATGTCTGATTATGATAATAATACCTTTTTTAATATACATTATAGGCTAATATGTTGAGAATATGTTACCTCCTATACTAGCGCAGCATTATATACTAATATGTTAAGAATATGTTCCTCCTATACTAACATTATATACTAATATGTTAAGAATATGTTACCTCCTATACAAACATTATATGCTAATATGTAAAGAATATGTTACCTTTTATACTAACATTATATACTAATATGTTAAGAATATGTTACCTTTTATACTAACATTATATACTAATATGTTAAGAATATGTTACCTTTTATACTAACATTATATACTAATATGTTAAGAATATGTTACCTCCTATACAAACATTATATGCTAATATGTAAAGAATATGTTACCTCCTATACAATCATTATATGCTAATATTTTGCTAATATATGTTACCTCCTATTCTCGCATTGTACGCTAATATGTTGCTAATATGTTACCTCTTATACTAGCATTATATACAAATATGTTACCTCCTATACTAGCATTATATACTAATATGTAAAGAATATGTTACCTCCTATACAAACATTATATACTAATATGTTAAGAATATGTTACCTCCTATACAAACATTATATACCGGGTGGCCAAAACTTTTTTGAACAAATCCGTACATTTTCAGAAGAAATCCGTACAATCCGTACAATTTTCGAAAAAAAATCTGTACAATCCGTACAATTTTTTTTTAAACCAATCCGTACAATCCGTACAATTTTTTAAAACCAATCCGTACATTTTTTTAAAAATCCGTACATTTTTTTTGTTACCTTTTATACTAACATTATATACTAATATGTTAAGAATATGTTACCTCCTATACAAACATTATATGCTAATATGTAAAGAATATGTTACCTCCTATACAATCATTATATGCTAATATTTTGCAAATATATGGTACCTCCTATTCTCGCATTGTACGCTAATATGTTGCTAATATGTTACCTCCTATACTAGCATTATATACAAATATGTTGCTAATATGTAACCTCCTATACTAGCATTATATACTAATATGTTAAGAATATGTTACCTCCTATACTCGCATTGTTTGCTAATATGTTGCTAATATGTTACCTCCTATACTAGCATTATATACAAATATGTTAAGAATATGTTACCTCCAATACTAACATTATATACTAATATGTTAAGAATATGTTACCTCCTATACTAGCATTATATGCTATTCCAACTCCACAATAATCATTGTATGCCACAGCTGCAACTTCCCCAGCACACCTACATAAGAATAATTTATGCAAAAAAAGTTATAAATATGCTGCTGCATTGAATTAACTAGGGCAGAGTCCAAAACTAAAGAACGAAAAGTTTTGACTTAAATTTTAAGTTCATGGTTAAATACCACTTCTGACTTAATTTAAACTGAACTTTAACCGTGAGGTTAAATATTTAACCCTCTGTGGTTAAATATTTAACTCGCCGAAATCGACGAGTTAAAATTTAAACACAGGGTTAAAATCTTGAAATCCCGCAATCCCTATTTGTCTATCATAAAAACCTGGATAAATTTCACGTTTTAGATTTATTAATGTTTGCATGTAAACCCAAAATACGGTTGTAACTGGAAATATGTTTTTTCCGTCACGTAAATAATTTAAAATTTAAAAACAGCTGATTATCGATAGTTATGTAATAATTCTCCGTAAATCCTTTTCTCTGATTGGTTCAGATTTTTCCCGGGAAATTCAAATTTAAAATTGAGAAAGTTTAATATTTAATCTCCTGTTCAACGAAATAACCAACCTTAAATTCCCTACTTTTTTATTTCCAGGGAGGATAATTACTTATCCTCCCTATTTACAGGGAGGATAATTACTTATCCTCCCTCTTTACAGGGAGGATAAGTANACTTCGCCTTGGGCCTCCTCGACCTTTTTGGGGTTCTAAACCTCCCTCGCTAAGCACTTGAGGTTTAGAACCCCAAAAAGGTCTTGGAGGCCCTCGGCTAAGTGGTTTTCCCCTCAATTTAATTATCCTCCCTTAATCTCCCGGTTAAGTAGTAATTAATAGTTATAAGTAGCTACTCATTATTTTACAGAACTTTTAACCTCGAACTTAAAATTCGCGCATTCTTTAGTTTTAGACTCTGGAAACATTTTTCAGTCTAAATTAAAAATCTTTTATGAAAACCTTCATGATAATTACATCATAGTTAATGCCGTTACTAAAAATATGGAAAATTAATGAAAAGTTATCTAAACAGAACCTTCAGAACTTAGCAAAAAACAAACTGAATTCTGAAAAGTTGTTCTTTTGAATGGTTTTATTTTTAGGTAACCATTAACAAAAGGTTAAAAAAAAGTCTGAAAGTGTCCAACCTTTGACAAAAGAGCTATGTATATGAAAATCGCAAATCTAATAATTTAATTGCGAACAATCTAAAAAATGAATTCAAAAACAAAACTTATTCAAATTGGAAAATTTAGTGGTGCCACTCGACAGTTGAAAAACCTTATTTTTTACCTTGTTCCATGTTTATTATCCCCATTATCCTGAGGCATTGGATCATCATCATTATCATTTATATCCTTAACACCATAATCATTATTAGGAGCATGTTTACTAATTACCGAATAAACTCCGTCCTCCTTTCTGATTTGCAAAATAATACTTTTTGGTTTTAGCAAGTCAACTTATGGCTTGATATGATTTGGGCAGCGCTTTCTTTTAAAGATTTTGAACAATATATCCAGAAAAATGTCCTTTAAAAATTATTTACCCCCCCCCCCCCACCCCCATCTAAAAGTATCTATGTTTTCCTGGATTTATCAGGATTGTTGGCACATATTGTAAAAAAAATTATTAATTGCGGTATTGGGAAAAATATATGAGAATGATTTTATTGGTTAAAAAGCATTAAAGAGGGGAAACAAATTGCTGCATTTGGAAAAAATAAATGAAAATATTCTTTTTGTTGAAAAGCGTTAAATTTTCCCCCAATATTCAAAATTAGTTTTCCCATAGGGACTGGAGGGGGTAGTTCTTCAAAATATATACCCATTGAAAAATATTTACCCCAGCCTACCTTTGATGCCAGAGGATCATAGTTCTGTGCAAGATCCGGATGATTATGCTGGATACCGTCATCAAGTATAGTAACAACTACACCCTTCCCTGTGAAACCTAGATCCCAAGCAGGCTACAAACCAGAATATTTCGATAGAAATTATTATTTATGCAGAATTGAAATTATAATGTTGTTGTAATTAACTATGAATCACTACAGCTGCAGTTATATAAACAAACAAGCACCAAAAAGTGTATGGAAAATTTTTCAGGAGTAATTTCATGTGTTTGTTGATAAATCATTTTCAGCAAATCAAGCCTAGTTTTGTGAAGATGCTATTTGGGGTAATAAATATTTAGTGCTAGATGTCAAGAAATTTATAATGGTTTTAAATTAGGGACTTTTGTTTTAATCTTTAGCAACCCTCCATTTTAAGAGACACATGTTTCATTTACAACAGTAACCTTTAAACCTCTATCTGATAAATGATGTGGAAAATATCATCATATTTCCAAGTGTTTCATTATAATAATTTTCCCAATTGCTACAACAGTCCCTTTAACAGCAGGAAAGATATAACCTCAATGGGCCCCAATTTATCAGGAAAAAAAATCTTTAGCAATAAAAACAACACAATTTAGAAAGCTCATGATTTGTACAACATATTTAGAATATTGAGTAAAAAATTTACAAGAACACCCAAATTTCCATACTTTTAGTTTATTTCGAAATAATTACGTTCCTTGACATTCATATCAGATCCATCCTTTGCACCATGATTAAGGAACCATTGATCCCTAAATAGAAAATTTTATCAGGGGTATATATTTTTCATCAAATCTGTTTTTTTCCACAAGACATCAAGTTTTATAGGGCCTTAATTTGATTTTACTTAATTTTTACAGAAATGTTTTGTATCCATCCTTACTTTTGAATAAAAAGTCTAGTAAATATATGCTGTAATAAAACTGTTCAGATGAAAAATGATATATAGTTTTCAAAGATTTGTGATCAATAGATTTTGAAAATTCAATTTAACATTTTGAAAGTTGAAATGATAATCTTTTAAAAAGTGGGGAGAAAAGTTTTAAGCATTTAAGCGTTTAGTATTTAGCTGACATAGATACCAGACCAGTGCTTTACAAACTCAAAAATCAATATAATTTTTAAAGTTTTAACCATGGAAATAAATGGCGAATTCATTTTATTTATTAATTCTTTTAGCGTAAAATGTTATTATTGTCAGAGATATCAATAATAAAATATACATTTGTTTTGGTATTTTGTTTTGCCTGTTCAACAAGCTACTGAAGGAAATAATTGAAAGTATTGTCTATCCTATAGCGCATTTGTTTAACCTTTCTTTTAAAACAGGATATATCCCTAGTGATTATAAATGTGCAAAAATAATTTCTATCTTTAAAACTGAACAAAAAGATAAATTTAATAACTACAGACCAATTANTCACCCTGTAGTTCATAAACATGATTCTAATAACTTATGTTACCCTCTGTTCCAACCCTTACGCTGAGTATCCTCCCTTTTCTTTATACTCCCTCACCTCCTCCTTACCTTTTACCTGATTTATTATCATTCTTATGTTTAAAATGTACAATGTACATTGTTTTTATCTGCAATTCTCATTCGTTTATAGTGGGCCAACCAATTAAAACAACCTACTCTGGTTAGGCGGGTCCAAACTACATAGTAAATTGTGATTTTTTATTTGTATTATCTCGTGCTTTGTAGTTGAATAAAAATATGAAAAATAAAACAAAAAGTAAGAAAATGCGAGATTTTCATAAAAGGTTTATTTAATGTTAAGTATTTAAAATGTTACACAAAAAAATTTTTGTCCCCCCCCCTTATCTTAAATCCTGGAGCTGCCATTAATCCATTAAAAAAATGTTGGTGCATTCTTGTTCTTTCTTTTCCCGAAGGCAAAATCTTGATCAGGAAGTCCTTTTGTTAGCAAGGTGGTAGAATTAATCTCACATTTAAAAAAAAAAAATTTAACCCCCATGTCAAACCTGTTGCATACCTTTAAAAGTTTTGATTTTGACTTTAAAACTAATTTCTATTTTCAGATCTCATAAAAGATCAGAAGCTAAAATTTGCTCATGCAATGAAATAATTTAATTATAAATGACTACCAATCTTCAGATTGTAAAACCCTCTTGCTTTATTACATTGTACAATTTTAAATCCAAGCGTAAAATTGTTAGTGATATTTCACCAGTTATTTCAGTAAGCAATTCACTCCCTTTAACAAACCATTAGTGGAGAATTGATTAAAGTAAAAATTGCATCAAACCAGATTACATAATGAATTTGATCACACTTACTGCACTTCAAATTTTAAAAGAACAAAAAATGCTAATTTGCACGAAAATTAGATGGCTGCCAAATAAATGACAAAAAATCTTTATTTTAGTTTTACACCCATCAAAATTTTACCATCAAAATTTTACCATCAAATTTTGATTTCCAAACTTTGAGTGTATTCTCAACTATTTTGAAGTGCATAATTAGACTTAAATAAACAAGCACTGGCCTTCATTGGTTTTATTACATAAACAATTATTGTTGTGAATAAACACAACTCCACAGCTTATTAGAATTCCTAAGATATTCAACATATTATCTTGGAAATGTGAGAAGTAACTTTTGTCTAAAATCAAACTTTCACAAAAGTTGTAGGCTGAAGTTTTCAGATTATTATGGAGCCGCTTGAACTCCATAAAACTAAGATATTTAAAAAAACAGAAATCAACTGTTCCTCTATCACTGCAAAGGACACATAATGAAAGAGTTTTTTCCTTGGTAATAAATTCTCTAAAAATGTTAATTCTGAGGGTAGAATACACTTTTATAATAAAAATGTTACATTTCCACCAAAGTAAGTGTGAATATAATGGTATTTTATAAACTCCAATCAATATTTTTCTACCTTTATTGTAGTGGAAACTATGTTACTTTTAAAACTTCTTGTTTTTATCGATTTTCTCAAAAAACGTCTTCGTGAGCACAATCTGGGGTTGAACTGTTCCTGAACTTGAAACACCTAACCTGTCTTAGTTATTTGATCGTAAATATTTTTAGGTTTTCTTATTTACATTGTCAAGACCTTTTAAAAACTCTAATCAATATTTTTCTACCTTTGTTTTAGTGGAAACTATGTCAATTTAAAAACGTTGTGTTTTTATCAATTTCTCAAATTTTGAATTTACAACTATTTACTCTTGAAACCTTAATCTCATTAAAAAATATGGAAGATACATTTGTTTTTCTGACTCAAAAAGTGTTTAATTCGGATAATTTATCCATTGCTTATAATTAGCAGAACTGCAAATGAAAATAAACCGATTAAAAAGAAACAAAAACATGGATATCTAATGCAGACTTGATCAGACAAAGCTTTTAAGTCAACCATTATAAATTAGACATTTCCTTTTTGGTCTGAGATATTTTAACAAATAATCCTTTTTAAAAAACTCTCAGAAACACAAAATAAATAACCAATTCAACCAAATAAATTTTGCCTAATGGATAGGAAATTTCTACAATGCTCGTCTCAAGCTAATTTTAAAAGAGTGTAATTGACTAAATTCGGGTAAATATTTTGATTATAAAGGTAAATAATTTACTTCCGGGTGTTTGTTAGACCGCAGTTCCGAAAATAATTACTGTAGTTCCTGGAGAGATAAATTGTTTTCTGGAGAATCTATTCCCCTTTGCACCTCTTCTCTACATAGAGATGGGCTTGTTCTCCTTTTTCAATTCATTCGTTTATTGTTCAACAATGACCTATTTCGTTCCTTTTTTTAATTTGAATTCATTTGTTTTCTAAATTATTGTTCATTTTTTTAACTCAATGTTTGTTTTATAAAATAGTTTATTCCAATTTCTTTGTTCCTTGTTCATTATATTTTCTGAACAGCAGCATTGTGCATGAAAATTTTCATTTGTTTTGAAATATTTTGTGCGATAACAGACAGGGTCACCATCTCTACTCCCCAACAAACAGGGTCCCCATCTCTACTCCGCAAAAAACAGGGTCACCATCTCTACTCCCCAAAAGACAGGGTCACCATCTCTACTCCCCAACAGACAGGGTCCCCATCTCTACTCCCCAACACTTCAACTATTTAGGGTTGGTTGGTTCAACCACTTACCAAACTTTCAAAACTTGACAGACACGCAGAAAATAAACTGTCACAAGAAATCCTACATAGTGAAAAATGTTTAGATACAAAGTAGTGGCTCTGCACCCCCTACCTACTAAAAGTGGATGGTTCATTTGGTGTCATGTCCCGTTTGGCTGTCTGATGCATACTCTATAACTTTGCTCTAGCCAAGGTAATTAGGCAAGTAAAGTTAATTGCTGCTTTTTGAGTAAACATATTGAAACCAGTTCTCTCTGTAATTCTCTAGTATGCTAGGAGGACAAAGCATTTAATTTTGATCATTTTGATAATTCATATTATAGTTTCCTATAACCAAAATATTTCAATGATTTTTTATGTGTAAGATGGATCCCATGTCAGACTGTGACATCCGTCTTGTGTTTAATTTACAGCCCAGAGACAGTTCACTGCAGTACTAAAAACGCATACACCTCTGAAATAACTATCTTTACGTTATAATTCTTTGGCTCTAGCAAACTTGAATGTCAGTCAGGTACTTTAAATAATTTGGAGTTTTCATGTGACCTATACACATACACAAATCACACATTTGTCTATTTCTACGAGAATCAATGTAACAGCTCCCATTACACCATCACTACTGTGCACAGGAATATTTTTCTCGGTGTAACATTGTGATAAAACAAATGAATTATCAAATACAATTTGATCTTTAAAATACAGAATTTAATTACTACAGATATGAAAAGGTGCACAAATCCTCTTTTTAGCTGTTATTCCATTCAACCGTCTGTATTCTTGTAAAAAGGATAGGATTAATTTTATCTCAAGTATCTCAAGAACATCATTGAGAGATAGAATTTTTCCTTTTAGCATTCAAATTTGATTCTAAATTCTATTTACTTCTTGACACTGGGAAAAATGTTTAACTTAATCCTTAGCTAAACATGAACCTAAAGTAATTCCAAACTAATTAATTCGATCTTTTCTAAAAATAACAGAATTAGGATCTTAAAATAACAGTTTGGCAAAGGACAGACGCTAAGTACCAAAAAGCAGGAGTAATTGAGTAATTTTTGGGAACAAAGAATCATTTCTTTTACCCAACGATTTTGCTGTCTATTTTCTCATTTTTTTAGTTATATACTGTAGGTAATTTTAGATTTAAAAAAATAATATTTAAAATAAATGAAAATTCACTTTATTTTTATTAATTAAATTTTTATTAAATTATCTATCTCTGAATTAATGTGTACTTGTAATTTTTTAATGTGATTTTGTGAGTATTTTATTATAGCACAATAAAAATCAAAATGTCACAGTTTTTGCTGGTGAATTTATTAAAAAAAACTTTGCTTAAAACTTTTGTCTGAGGAAAAAAGACGCAGAAAATTTAAAATTGTTGATTCACTTCAAAAGTTACTTGGGAAATTAAGCCTCAGAACCAAAGTAGTAAATTTATCATGATTTAAGATAAAAACAACAATATCTTCCTCATTGTTGCTCGCATAAATGGAGTGTGACTTGTACTTACTTCTAGACTGGTTTCATTGAGCTAAAGTCACAATTGTTAATATTGTAAGGACAATCATCTCTAGTGTTGCAACACCTTGGCTTTACCTCACCACTTATTTTTAATTTTATTTTCATTTAAGCAAATACTTTCTATAAGCTTTCAAGGAGTTTTTGGGAAGATTTTTGCATGAGAGAATAGTTTTAATTAATTTTGCAAATGGTAAGAAATTAAATACATCTTATAATCAAATATTGAACATTAGAATTTGTAGTGTAATTCATTACAAAGTTTATAATTATAAATTATACTGAATTAGCTGAGGAAGAAAATCAAATTTAAACCAGGAAATCCTCAGATCGCAAGATTTCCTTAAGAGAAGGAGAAAATTTTAGTTCAAGGTATTGTAAGTGTAATTTTAAGTGATCCTCCAAGCACAGATGGCCATGTCTGAAACTTTGGTGTAATATCATAAACTTTGGTATAATATCATAAACTTTGGTATAATATCATAAACTTTGGTATAATATCATAAACTTTGATAAAATATCATGAACTTTGGTATAATATCATAAACTTTGGAATAATATCATAAACTTTGATAAAATATCATAAACTTTGGTATAATAGCATAAACTTTGGTATAATATCATAAACTTTGGTATAATATTACAAACTTTGGTATAATATCATAAACTTTGGTATAATATCATATACTTTGGTATAATATCATAAACTTTGGTATAATATCATAAACTTTGATAAAATATCATAAACTTTGGTGTAATATCATAAACTTTGATAAAATATTACAAACTTTGATAAAATATCATAAAAATTTTATTAAATATCATAAAACTTTGATAAAATATCATAGACTTTGATAAAATATTATAAACTTTGATAAAATATCATAAAATTTGATAAAATATCAAATAAATTTTATTAAATATCATTAAAACTTTGATAAACTCAAAAATAAAAAAAAGATAAAATCTAACTAAACCCAGTTACCCAATTTGTCTACCGAGTTCCCCAATCAAAATTTTTTAGAAATTCTGTGTACAGTCCCTTTAAAATATTTAATTTTCTTTTCACTTGATAATTGTTAGTAATGCTGCTTGCCTGTACAATGGATCAGGAACTGTAGGGGGGGATCTTTTGCTTCTCCTGAACAAATACATAAATATTATTATTATTATTATTATTATTATTATTATTATTATTATTATTATTATTATTATTATTATTATTATTATTATTATTATTCCCCCCTAAAAAATCTAAAAAAGACAGCTTTAAAATGTTTGTAGAAAGTTTAAAAAAATGTGTTATTTGATTGAAAACAAGAAAACAAATTTTAGAAAAACAAAACGTTGTCCTTAAATTCCAATATAGAAAACTCTCAAGAAGACTGGAAACGTAATTTCAAGTGATCCTCCATTTGTAAAGTGGCATTGTTAGATTAGAATTAGATTCCATTAAACCCTTCTCTGATCAAGGAATGCACTTATTCTTTTATTTATCTACAGAAACCCTTGTGATTGTTGATAACTTTGTATTATCTATTTTTATTATTGTCTAATTGTTTTATCTAATATAAGTTGTTTAATTGTTTTATCTAATATATGTTGTCTAAGTTTTGTATCTATTATATGTTGTCTAAGTGTTTTATCTATTATATATTGTCAAAGTGTTTTATCTATTATATGTTGTCTAAGTGTTTTATCTATTATATATTGTCTAAGTGTTTTATCTAGTATATGCTGTTTAAGTGTTTTATCTATTATATGTTGTCTAAGTGTTTTATCTATTATATATTGTCTAAGTGTTTTATCTAGTATATGCTGTTTAATAAGTGTTTTATCTATTATATGTTGTCTAAGTGTTTTATCTATTATATATTGTCTAAGTGTTTTTATCTATTGTATGGTGTCTAAGTGTTTTATTTATTATATGTTGTCTAAGTGTTTTATTTAAAAAATTTTCCATAAATTAGCATGAATGATAAAGTACACAACAATTTCATAACATCTTACCTAAGTTCTTTCTGCTGTTGAAACCAGGATATTCCAGGCTCTGCAGCCAGTAGGTCAGCGTGCTGGGCACAAGCTGATATCGATCTAGGACAAGGTCAAATTTAAGGGCAAATACTCGTAGGACTTTGTGAAATCGTAACTCCTATTGTTCTGATTTCCCGCAAGTATGGGAAAGTAACATTAAAAGTTAGGAAGGTAGGAAGGTAGGAAGGCAGGAAGGTAGGAAGGTAGGAAGGAAGGAAGGAAGGAATGCATATCTATCACTTTGATGATTTACTTATGTTAAGCATTATATTAATTAAAATTAAGGTAGGAAGGTATGAAAGTAGGAAGGTAGGAAGATAGGAAGGTAGGAGGTAGGAAGGTAGGAAGGTAGGAAGGTAGGAAGGTAGGAATGCATATCTATCACTTTGATGATTTACTTATGTTAAGCATTATATTAATTAAAATTAAGGTAGGAAGGTATGAAAGTAGGAAGGTAGGAAGATAGGAAGGTAGGAAGGTAGGAAGGTAGGAAGGTAGGAAGGTAGGAAGGTAGGAAGGTAGAAAGGTAGGAGGGTAGAAAAGTAGGATGGTAGAAAGGTAGAAAAGTAGAAAGGTATGAAGGTAGGAAGGTAGGAAGTAAGGAAAGTGTAAAGGTATGGAGGTAGGAAAGTAGGAAGGTAGGAAGGGAGGAAAGTAAGAAGGTAGGAAGCTAGGAATCTAGGAAGGTAAGAAGGTAGGAAGGAGGGAAAGTAGGAAGGTTAGAAGGTAGAAAGGTAGGAAGGTAAGAAGGTGGGAAGGTAGGAAGGTAAGAAGGTAGGAATGTAGGAAGGTAAGAAGGTATGAAGGGGGGAAAGTAGGAAGGTTAGAAGGTAGGAAGGTAGAAAAGTAGGAAGGTAGAAAAGTAGGAAGGTAGAAAAGTAGGAAGGTAGAAAAAGAGGAAGGTAGGAAGGTAGAAAAGTAGGAATGTAGGAAGGTAGGAAGGTAGGCAGGTAGAAAAGTATAAAGGTAGGAAGGTAGAAAAGTAGGAAGGTAGGAAGGTAGGCAGGTAGAAAAGTAGGAAGGTAGGAAGGTAGAAAAGTAGGAAGGTAGGAAGATAGAAAAATAGGAAGGTAGGAAGGTAGAAAGTAGGAAAGTAGAAAGGTAGGAAGGTAGAAAGGTAGGAGAGTAGGAAGACAGGAAAGTGGGAAGGTAGAAAAGTAGGAAGGTAGAAAGTTAGGAAGGTAGGAAAGTAGGAAGGTAGGAAGAAAGGAAGGTAGAAAAGTAGGAAGGTAGGAAGGTAGACAAGTAGGAAAGTAGGAAGGTAGAAAAGTACACATAAATATAAAACGTTAGAATAAAATAGAGAATATGAAGGATAGGGTTAGAATTGGACACTTCAATTTACACATTCATATCTAGAGTTGAGGAGAGAGAGCAGGGATATTTATGTTTTAATTATATGCCTTTCCACCCACTTCAATCTTGATGTGACATTTCATATTTTACACTGATTCAACTTTTTCCAATAGTTTTGTACACTTATTTGAAAAATAATTCACAATTTACTGATTTTGAAAAACCACATTAAAGAAGCTCATATTTTCTAAAATTTTAATTCAAAAAAGACTTGTTCATTAAATGTTTTAATTCCCAAAGAAGATATGTAAATTTATTAAATCTTCTACTAAGTCCAGAAGAGGATTAAAGTATGTTACAAACCTTCTACTGAGTCTAGGATAGGCTTAAAGTATGTTACCAACCTTCTACTGAGTCTAGAAGAGGATTAAAGTATGTTACAAACCTTCTACTGAGTCTAGGATAGGATTAAAGTATGTTACCAACCTTCTACTGAGTCTAGAAGAGGATTAAAGTATGTTTCAGACCTTCTACTAAGTCTAGGAGAGGATTAAAGTATGTTACAAACCTTCTACTAAGTCTACAATAGGATTAAAGTATGTTACAAACCTTTCAATCATTTGCAATACAAAATAAATTTCTGCCAAGAACTGTGTTGAGGTCATTTTTACATAAATTAGAAAGAAATCTAATGCAAAGCTTAGAACTTGATTGAATAAAAGAAAGTGAGACAAAGTGTTGAGTGTCTGCTACAATATGATTGAATAAAAGAAAGTGAGACAAAGTGTTGAGTGTCTGCTACAATATGATTGAATAAAAGAAAGTGAGACAAAGTGTTAAGTGTCTGCTACAATATGATGAAATGAAAGAAAGTAAAGTAAAAGTGTTAAGTGTCAGTTACAATATGATTGAATAAAGAAAGTGAGTAAAAGTGTTGAGTTTGCTGTGAGAGGATTAATTAATGAATTATTTAATTAAGGGTAATTAAGAGATAAAGACGGGTCATTAGAGGAACTGGAGAGAAAAGAAATGTATTAAGTTTTCTTGAGCAAAACAACTCAACAGGTATACTTCATACTTCTTTCAGTTCTTTGTCTGCAGTTTAAAAACCAAGAAAATAAAAGATTAAACCATATAATACCCACTGTATTGTGACTCTAAGAAGTTTATGGTATGATTTTGATTCCACTGGAGACCATTCGAGGGTTTTCATTTTCACTGGAGGGGTTTGAAAAATCACTATTTACAATTTGAAACTTTACGCAGGGTGATTTACATTCTACTTAAGGGATTCAGATATCCTTCCTGGGGTTTATAATTCCACTGGATGAATACAGATATCCTTCCAAGGGGTTTAATATTCCACTTGAAGGATTCTGATACCCTTTGAGAGGGTTTATAATTCCACTGGAGGGATTCAGATATCCATCCAGGGGGATTATAATTCCACCGGTGGGGTTCAGACATCTATCCCGTGGGTTACAAATTCTACTAGAGTGATTCAGATATCCATCCAGGGGGATTATAATTCCACCGGTGGGATTCAGATATCCATCCAGGGGGATTATAATTCCACCGGTGGGGTTCAGACATCTATCCAGTGGGTTTAAAATTCTACTAGAGTGATTCAGATATCCATCCAATGGATTTTTAAGCCCCCAGATGGATATATGAAATCCTCCAGTGGAACTATAAACCCCCTAGATAGATATCTGAACCCCAACAGTGGAATTATAATCCCCTAGTTGGATATCTGAATACCCCCTGTGGAATTTTAAACCCCTTGGAAAGATATCCTCTAGGAAGGTTGTCTGATTCCGTCCACTTGAACTATAAACCCCCCTGGAAGGATATTTTAATTCCTCCAGTGAAGTTATAATAACCCTGGATGGATATCTGAATCTTCCAGAGGAATCATAAACCCCCTGGAAGGATATTTTAATCTCTCCCCCCGGATCACGTGGATTTAACGGTTCTGTCAATATATTAGAAAGCTTTGGCTTTCGATCACAATTTGAACCATTATACATAATATTTTAGCCTTTTTTCTTAAATATACATTTTGAATGAAAAAGTATGAAATAAAGAAAGCCGTAAGTTTGAAGATTGTTGAATTATCGACCTTAAAGACATTTGATTTCAACCAAATGAAACCAAATGCTTCTCACTCTGGTTAGTCCGGGGTGGGATGGATATCTGATTTCCTGAAAGGAGAATATTAAACCAACAAGAAGTATATCTGAATCCCTCCGATGAAATGTGAATCACCCTACGTAAATTTTTAAACTTGAAAAGGAATTTTTCAAACCCCTCCAGAGAAACTGAACTCCCAGTGGACTCAGAATCTTACCACAAATTTCCGTGACTCCTGTTTGATACAGTTTTATCTCACACGTCACTAAAAGCTTTATACTAAATATTCAGTCAGAGTACTGCAGATTACTGCAGAACATACCGAAAGCTTAGTTGTAATCATTTACAAGTATATTACGTATGACTTAATTTTAAAGGCAGGGAAGTGTTGAATGTCCCATACTTTGTGGCCAAAAACCTGGAAATAGCTGAGCTTATTATATCCTGGATGGTTCCTTATTCATTTGGTTGTGTTTTGAGATTTGATTTTAAAATCCATGGAAAAAAGCGTAATGAACTTTTCTTGTCCTCTTGTAGTTTTAGAAATGTGATATTAAAAATAAAATTTGAATATTTGCGAGCTAATCATCCAGATTTAGATGCTGGAATCTAGATTATTAAATTTGAACATTAAATTGCTTAAACATTTAAGATACAACAAATTTTAAGATTTAAATTACATCTAATTATTCATTTCATCCATTCCAGAGACATTTTAGTTTTTTTTGCTTAAAAAAGCCACTTAAAAATTTTTAAAAAATTTTAATATATAAAAAATGTATTGCAAAAATGTACTTCAATAAAACGTAATAAAAGCAAAATTGTTCAGACTAACACGTAGAAATATGTTTTTATTAATATTTTTTGGTTTCAAAGCCCTTTATGAAAGCACTGACATGTTTTAAAGAACTAATTAAGCCAATCTCAATATAAGACAAAAGTTAATTTTCTATGACATTACTGGTATGCCTTTTCACCCTCAGAATTCCTCTAATTGATACTACTTCCAGGAAAGAAATTTGTGTTTCAAACAATTTGAATTTAAAAATTATGAAAATTATGCATTTATTTTCTAGACATCTTTAATTTTTTTATTTTTTGACCCCTGGAACTTTAGTGCCTAATCTAGATTCAGTCTGTAAGGAGTAATGGCAAAAACCTAATTTATTTTTACATAAGAGCATGTATATTTTTACATAAGAGCATGCATATTTTTTCATAAGAGCATGCATATTTTTACATAAGAGCATGCATATTTTTACATAAGAGCATGCATATTTTTACATAAGAGCATGTATATTTTTACATAAGAGCATGCATATTTTTACATAAGAGCATGTATATTTTTACATAAGAGCATGTATAATTTTACATAAGAGCATGCATATTTTGCTTCATTGTGTTGATTAATGTTTTGTGAATAAAACACTGAGATCTTGCCGGGCTACATATTTTTACATAAGACGTGCTGGGTCGACTCTACACTTGGTAGTCCAGGCTGGACAGTACAAGTGAATGCATATACAGTACATATTGTACCGACTTGGATCATTTCTAATCCTTTCCCTTTTCTCTTCTATCCCTTGTTTACAGATTGGACTAGTTCAAAACAATACAGGGCTAATTATTTTCTTTAAAAATATAATCTTCCCCCTCTTCCTCTTCAATAATCTTTTTAACTACAAGTGTTTAAAAATTAAAAGTGTGTTTTTGCAGAATTAGAGAAAAATAAAACAGTTTTTTGAATAAAAATGTTCAAAAAAATGGCCGGAAAAAGACTAAAACATGATATTTTCGCAATATCATTATTCAGGCTTCTTTGTAAAAATAAATTGATATTTTTACCTAGAAATGTGATCAGCTGCTTGAACTCCTTCAGGTACATAAACTGTACATGGTAAACCAGCTTATTTTTAATATATAATAAACTGTACATACAATAATAATTATATAATAATAATAATTATAAAAACAATAAGACTGGTTCCTGCAAACTGGTTGTGATATGTACACTCAAGCCCACGGAACTGTAGAACACAACCAAAACTAAAAAAAAAAATAAAGAGTTTTTCTAGAAATGTCATTTTTTTCCAACTCTTAACTTAAAGATGCTTTAAAGACATGTCCATCTGGTTGTGTGTGTTTGTGTTTTAAATAAAAGTCAGCACTACCGAGCAGATCGGGGTAAATACTGATTAAAACCATCTAAAAATTTTTTTTTTTTTTAAATCAAAACACAAATCTCAATTGCTAGCAAATGAGCACTTATTTAAAACTTCATAATCTCTAAATGGTTTATTAAGTTTCAACATAAAAATAAGCGAAAAAAGAGGAAGTTTTTTTTATATTGTTTAACAAATTAGCGAATCCTTTTTTGAAGTTGGATCATGACCACAGGAAAGGATTATTAATGAATGGCCGAAATTGTAAAAGTTGTCTTTATTTTTTTTTATGTTTACCATGCAAAAACTCAAATTTACTATTTCAATAATGTAAAACGAAAAAATGGAAAGGCTTATTCATATTAAAATACTTAAATAATGACAAGAAACATAAAAATCAATTAAAACGTTGCTTCTTCAAAATTACTATTTTGCCTGATTTTGAATTCCTATATCTTTGCAACCCAATGTTGTATATCTTAGATATTTAAATGAATTCTGTGAGATCAGGTAATCTAAGTTTGAAATAAAAAAGGTCTACTCCATCAGGTTAAAAAGATTTAGGGATTACAAAAACTCAATTCATTTAATTGATAAGAGGATTATTTTTTTACCTTAAAAGGAGATAATAAAAATTCATCGTCCTGGTCTACTAAAGCAAACCACTTTTTCCCTAAATAATCAAAGCTTTTTATTATCTTCTAAATTAACATTTTTCATACTAAAATCAATAAATCACGATTGAACATTTATCTTGGAAAATACTATTTTTTTAACACGCTATATAATTCTTATTTATTTTGACAGAAACTTTTATCATTTTGGCCCAGGGACATGTTTGAGCAGTAAGTTTAAATCATTTGTTTTGATAATTCAAAAAAAAATTATTATTTTTTGTATTTGTGAACAATGAACAGTACTATACAAGATCTAATCAGAGGAAGAATTGAAAAATCCCGATTAAGCAGATTTTACCAGAATTTTTTAATGCAAAGAATGAATATGTTTATAATTAAATAATGATATAATTATTAAAAAAAAACTAAATAAATATATACGTCATGCATTAATATCACAGATCCTATTATTTATGAGTTAAAAAATTGATGTTTTGAATCCAAACAATGTAGATTTTTTGTATTTTATATTTCATATTTTTAATGATTCAAAAGTTGGGAAAGGAATTGAGTCTTTGCAACAAATCCCAATTTTCTAATACCTTTATATCTACAACTAAATAATTTAAACCTTAGATATTTCAAACTTTCATTATTTGATATAACAGAAGTCAAAGTTTGAAATATCTAAGGTCTACAACATTAGGTTGTTAAGATATAGGGATTTAAAACCAGAGTTTGTGGCAAAGACTCAATTCCTTTGAATTAAACCTGCATTTTACGTTCTACTTGAAATTGAAATAAATAAAATTTTGATAAGATAATTCAGCTTTTAAAAAGGTAAGTTAGTAAGCCAGATCTATAATTATCATCGTGTAATTTACATCAGATATAATAAATGAATAACAGAATGATATAGAATACTAAAAACGTTTTAATATTTGAAAACATCTTATCGCCAATCCAAGTACTGTTAGGAAAAAATTACATACATAAATTATAACATAATATTCGCAATTTCGCAATTATTTAGTTCAATATCAATATTTTCTATAACAGTGCATAATTGTAACTGAGTTGTGTGAAAGAACATTTTAAATTTATTATTGTTGATAATTGATGTGCATAAAAAGAACCAATATATGTAGCAAAAAGCGTGAATACATGGTATTCTGTAAACTTGCAGTACGTTGTACGTCATAAATGATTTAATGTTTAAACTAAATGAGATTATTCATTGAAACTGCGTTTCAATCGAATACATGGGCAGAGATAGATTTACTGCGTTATATCTATTCTCTTTAATCCTTCAAATACTTACCTTAAACTTTAACTGTGCAATAAATATGTAATACTATAATGCTATATATAATACTATAATAAATATGTAAGAGTTAGCTGATTGAGACTCTGCTTTGATTACGGTATAAGAAGTAGTTTGTGTTCTCGCTGAAACATGCAATTGTAGATCTTGCCTAGCTGATTGGCAATTGAATTGAATATAGCTTGAAAGATAGCTTGAGTCCTCGTTAAATTATACGAGTGGAGATTGTGCCTTGAGTATTGGCATTGAATCGAATAAAGCTTTAAAGATAGCTTGGATCCTCGTTAAATTATACGAGTGGAGATTGTGCCTTGAGTATTGGCATTGAATGGAATAAAGCTTTAAAGATAGCTTGAGTCCTGAGTTGAGATTTTGAACTGTGTGTCCTTCAGAACCGGGGAGATAAGCCTGGTTGAGAAATTGCCTGTGTAATAATTTCAAAAGCCTTTGTGGATTATATGACTAGAGAGTTAAGTCTGATTGTTGGGACTGTGTGTCATTTGGAACCGGAGATATTGCCTTTTTGGCATTCAGAAACGAAATCTTGGTAATGAGTAGACCTGGATAGATACGTCTCGAATAAAACTGTTATGGAGTAGGTATTTGCTATATATACATGGCAAATTTTGTAAAATACATTTATTCATTTTTCTTTTAACTGAATGTTCCTATGCTAAAAGAAGAGATTGATTGCAAGGAGTTACCGAGGGGAGGGCGATGGGGTAACGAGTTTTTGCTCCTATCGTCAACAAAAAATGCAAAATAGAAACTCTTACAAAAAGAATATATCTGCCCCCAAAGCTTTTTTCTATTTATAACTAAGGCTGGGCTCGTTGGTTAATATTTCCGTTTTCAATCGTTTGTTAACTAAATGTTCTGTTGGTTAGCATAAATGTTTTGCTTGTTAACTAAATTTTCAGCTTGTTAACTAAATTTTCCGTTTGTTAACTAAATGTTCTGTTGGTTAGCATAAATGTTCTGCTTGTTAACTAAATTTTCTTCTTGTTAACTAAATGTTTCGCTTGTTAGATAAATGTTCCGCATATTAACTAAATGTTCTGTTGGTTCGCTAAATGTTCTGCATATTAACTAAATTTTCCGCTTGTTAACTAAATGTTCCTCTTGTTAGATAGATGTTCCGCTTGTTAACTAAATGTTTTGTTTGTTAGCTAAATTTTCTGTTTGTTAACTAAATTTTCTGCTTGTTAACTAAATGTTCCGCTTGTTAACTAAATTTTCTGCTTGTCAACTGAAATTTTCATTTGTTAGTTAAACTTTCTGTTTGTTATAAATTTGTTGCTCCTTAATTAGATTTTCTGTTAGTTAACTGAATTTTCAGTTTGTTATCTAAATTTTCTGTTCGTTATCTAGATTTTTGGTTAGTTAACTTAATTTTCCGTTTTTTAACTAATTTTTCCGTTTGTTGAATTAATTTTTCGTTGTTAACTTACTTTTTCGTTTGTTAACTTACTTTTCTATTTGTTAACTTAATTTTCCGTTTGTTAACTTAATGTTGCGTCTTTTAACCTAACTTTTCGTTTGATAAAATAATTAACTGTTTGATAACCTTGTTTTCCGTTGTTAACAAATTTTTCAGATTTAAACTTAATTTTACGTTTGATAACTTAATTTTTCTATTTGTTAACTAAATTTTCCGTTTGGTGCATTAATTCATGCTAACCAATTTTCCGTTCGATTTCAAAAAAAACTTCAGTTTGCAATGGGACGTTGCCAGCCCTAAAACAGACACTATTTAAATAAAATAGACATGTTTGTGTAATTTTACATATTTATTTCAACCACAGAATAGAAAATATAGAAGAAGACATAAAATGTTAATAAAAAAGCGAGAACTTCTTAATCTAGTTTCTGATCTTAGTTTACAAAAACAATGATAATAAAATAATGGCAACATTTTATCTGCCTGGGGTCATGTGAGGTCCCGCAAAAATATTGGGCCGGGTCGGTTCAGAAGTGTTGATGTTTTTTGGATACAAACAAACACCCAGGCATAAAAGCAAATTGTATGAATTAACAGATGAGTCATTTCATAGAAATTCATATTGTGTTCGAAGGTTGCAGCTTGCTGCAGGATATGGACCGAACTACTGAATCTGAGGCCGAATTCAATGAATTTGAGCCGAGTCTTAAATTTAAGCCGTGGCTCAAATATGGTTGGTTTCAGTTTAAATTGTATTCAATTTTTCAAGATTCAAGCCGGCGCTCAATTGAAACCGGTTTTTAAAGTAGAAGGCTTCAATGAGAACCGGAAAATTGTAGATGTATATTTGATGTTGCTAAAACCAAAATGATTTTCTGGTAACTTAAAATCAATTCTAAACTACATTAAACATTTTAAATTGTAATTTGAGTCTAAAAGCCGTCTGATTTTCATGCACTAAAGACTTTATAAATCAAATGTCCTTCTTATATTTAGTAAGGCTATATCTAATTCACAATGATACACTTTAACGCTTTGTATGACCAAGAATTGGTATCATTTTTAAAAATGGAAAGTTTCAATTGTTTTTTCTATCTTAAAGTGTTTTACGGATATATAGCTGCAGAAGCAGTGTAGGAAACAGTAAGAATTTAACACATTTCTACCTAAGAACCACGATATTTTAAATTTAGCTTTTCTTGAAAAAAATATCTGATTTAATGATAAATAATAATACTATTTATCAATGTTTCTACGAAAAATACATATTTCTTTACTATAAAAATGACCTATCGTTGTACCTTATGAGCTAAACATATATTTATAAATGATGAAAATAAACCAAAAAAATCAAAAATAAACGTTTAACGCTATTTTTATTTGATAGATTCTTTTTAAATAGAAAAATTTAATTGGTTGGGGGGCAAATAACCCTCCTACCCCCTCCGAAAAGCGGGAGAAGGGGGGGTCTTGTTTCTTTTACTTGCCAATTGTCAATGCATTGTTTTATTTTATTTAAAAATCTAATAGTTTTTTAGTGACATAACTTTGTATAGAAATATGAAATAAAATTGTTCTTACCATTACTGAAATTCCGCTAAATTCTTTAATTTTGTATTTCACTTCTTGAGTAAAACATTTTTATTTCAATATTTTTCTCTTGTTGCGAGTTTGATCCTTTTCTCATGGAAGGCAAGAGAATACTGAATGAGAGACGAGAGTTTAAAATCACTTTGCTCCCTTCTATCTTCCTCTCTAACTATCTCAACTGCAGTTCCATTATGTGTGTGATTCCCTCAATTTAAACAGTTTTTAACATAAATTAACATTTTATCACGGTTAAAACTATTGAAAGGGGTGGGAAGGGTGAAAACAGGGTGTTGGGGTCTTGGGAGACACATAAAAATAAGTTTCTATAACTAACTTTGGGATAGTTGTGTTTTTGTCGCTGAGAAACTAGAATTCTCTGGTAGTGAACAATATAGGAGGGGGGGGGGGAGTCGGTAGTGGGATTTATTTAATTTTTTAATACTTTTTATTTGAATATGATTTAAAACAATTAAGAGTTGTGTAATATTTTAAAAAATTAAAAGTCCCGATATTGAAGACCCTCCCCCCGTCTGCAGCGGAGGCTAACAGCTGATTCCGGAGTCTGCGCATTTCTCCTTAAATCATACGAAGCCGACCTCTAAACAGTGGGAAAGACGGGCTTCTGTCGTTTCTGCCGAATTTCGGGGTAACACTAAATCCTGATGGGCGAGAAGAGTTTTAATTGGAGGTTTTCTAGGATCTAAGGCCCCCTTGACGATAGGATTTGGGGGAGGGGGGAGGGGTATTTTAACACAGCGTGTGGAGGGGGTGGATACCTGTTTGAAATATAATACTCCCGTTTGAACTATTGTTCATTTGAACTATTGTTCGTTTGAACTATTGTTCATTTGAACTACTGACATGTCATATCATGTAGTTCACATCTTAACACATTGCTTGTTCATTTGAACTATTTTTCTATAAATTCTGCAGTTTTTGTTAAAATTCATGAAGTTCATCCTCATTAAGCTTTTAAACTCTTAAAAAATATAATTTTTTAAGTAAAGAAAAAACCTAAAAAATACGTAAAATAAAAACCCAAAAACTTTGAAAAATATCTTGGTATGAAATTTACGAAATTATACGGATTTTTAGGTTTGCATCAAATTTTTAAACTCTAAAAAACGTACAATTTTTAAGTAAAGAAAAAACCTAAAAAATACGTAAAATACGTATTTTAAAAACCTAAAAACTTTGAAAAATGTATTGGTATGAAATTTACGAAAATTAACGTATTTTTAGGTTTGCATTAAACTTTAAACTCTCGAAAAAAAAAAAAAGATTTTAAGTAAAGAAAAAACCTTTAAAATGCGTAAAAATACGTAAAATCGTTCGAACTATTGGTTGCTTGAACTACTACACCTAGTACCTGCACATGTAATAGTTCTAAAGACCAATAGTTTAAAAAGTCGATAGTTCAAACGGCAATATATAGTTCAAACTAAATAGCACCAGAAATTGCATTCAGATGACCACCCCCCACCCCTCCCTAGCTCCCTAGCTCCCTAACTCCTACCATTCCCCTCCTAACGCCATGTTTGCTATTGGTTAAATCTCTACTGAGGGAACTGTGATTGGTCCTGGAGTCCCTGAAGTAATATACTGGAATTGGATGTTGACCTTTTAGTTTAGTTTATCAACTCTAGGAGTCACTAATACTAATATTATAAAAAGAAAAATTAGAAATTTTTTTTATATTTGAGATTTCATATTCAAAGTTTAGCAAATAAAAAATTGATTAAATTGAAATAAATTGAAATAAATATACATATACTTGTTTAGGTGGTTTTACACCACATTTGTTTACATTTTTATTTCTATTTATATGGATCACAGGTATTAAAATTCATTAGCTGTCACCATATTAAATTCAGTTTTTTGGCAGGAAGTTGTTCAGTTTATCTGATATGTAAATCTTCTACATAGTGATCTGTATGTAAAAGTTCCCATGTATAAATGTAACAATAATAGTTCAAAGCCAATTGTTCTAACTAAGTGTGTCAAGCATATTGTAACCATTCCCAACCCCCCCTCCCTGCTGAAGATGGGCCAGAGCATGGAAAATTCTTCAGGACAAATCAACCCGAATCTGGCCCCCCTGCTCCAGCCGCCTTATCTAGTGTTGCCCCATACAGGGGTTGACCAGCCAGCTGGCCCCAGGATTAAGAATTGGCGGGATCTGGGTTCAGAACACAGAGAGGGAAAGAGATTGAGAAAGAAGCCAATTGTGCGCCAGCTCTCACAAGGAGAGGATGAAGCAATTCGCCAACTCACCATAAGTATAGGAGTTGTGGCACCAGTCCTCAGAGAGTATAGGATGAAGCAATTCGCCAACTCCCCACAGTTGTAGAATGATCAATCCACTGGGAACTGCTGGGTTTGATCGGAGCTGTGGGAAAAAACCAGAAAACTCTGGTTAAAGAAGAGTCTTGGATCCATGATCCTAAATAGGGAAGAGCATGGAAAAGATGTGCTTTTCTATAAAGCAGGCAGGGAGAATGGTTCCCATGTCTAACAAGAAGATCCCGAAACCAAAGCTGTGGATCTGGATGAAACTGTAGTAGCAGTATATCTACATCTCTTCTATTTCTCTTTAATTTTTTCATTACTTTGTAAATCTTTTCATAAATTTTTTAATCTTGAATTTTTATTTTTCTAGATGAAAAGTCAAAACACTATTTTCTTCTTAAAAGAACCTGAAAATATAACCTGAAAAGTTTGACAAACCATTATTAAACTAAACATCGAATAAACAAGCATTTTAAATTTGAATGATATAATATTGGATTAAACTTTGTTTTTTTTCGGGAGACTTTTGTTATACCTAAAATTGCTTGAGGACAGGTGTGTATAGATTATTATAAACAAAGATATATATTATATTTATTGCAAATGAAATGAGATTGGGGGAATGATGCTGACTAGGACTGGACATCTCTTGATGCATCAAAGAATACAATTCTGTGTTCCTAATCAAGCTATTTATTCTGATTGCTTCTGTAACAGGATGTTTTCTACTCCTCAACCTGCTCCAATCCAGAGAAGTTCGATTTATGAACGCAGCAATCCCGGTGGTTGGACCATAGAAAACAGCAATGGCGCAGGAGATTAATAGGGCACCATACAATACCATTCAGCAAATAGTTCCATAATATCCTTCAATATCAACACCTAGTGAGTAGTGAGTAATAAACCCAGAAATGTTCAGACTATCTTATATAGTACCATAATAACACAGATTCTATAATGTTTGCAATGTCCACAAGTTAATTAAGTAAGGTCATTTTCTATTTAAAGCCAATCAGGAGATTCCACAAGATTGGCTTAACTGTTTGTTCATTTGAACTATTTTTTTGTTCATTTAAATTATTTTTTTTTCATTTGAACTATAATGCTTTGTCCATTTAAACTTTTTGTTTGTCATTTGAACTATTTGTTTGTTCATTTGAACTATTTTTATGTTCATTTGAACTATTTTTAAAGGTTATTTTAACTATATTGTTAATAGTTTAAATGAACAGTATTTCAAATAAACAAAAAAATAGTTCAAATGAGTTTGAAATAAGCTCGTTTGAAATATATTGTTTGTTTGAACTACTCATGGTACCTGCACCTGCAGAGTTCAAACGAACAATAGTTCAAACGGGAGTAGTTCAATTTTTCAAACAGGATAGCATCTGTGGAGGGAAGAGGGGGGGATTGAGGCTACGCCCCCCTGACAAAGTGAAATACACATTTTCCAGGTGGTATGCTTAGCCTCAATTACGGGGACAGCGAACCCCCTTTCCCCTGGAATCCCACAAAACATGACAGTTTTGAATGTTGTCTTCCATATACTGTATATATTAAAAACTGTTTGCAGTTTATTTCGTTCAAAAAATCTTTTACTCAAATATATTTTACTTTGAAGTTAATTTTATGAAAATATGACTCATATATAATATTTTTATTATTGACTTTGGTATTAAACAACTTAACAAATTATGGAAGAAGACATTAAAAACTATTTATCACTGTCATGTTTCGTGGGACACTCTGTATAAAAAAATGTAAGCCCCCTCCCCCCCGGATAAATTTTAGTGATAAGGATTAAGGATAAGGGGCGTGCAGGAAAGCAAATTTAGGGACAATTGACAATTAAAGAAGATTTTAAAATGAGTAAATGTAGGTGTTCGAAAGGCCTGTGTGGGGCANTCATTTTATAATTGCCCTCTAACAATTGGCTGCATATGGTGGCACAGACTGCTCATACACTGGATAGGCTGAGCAGGCCTATAGTGTCCCGGCACGCCATGCGCTGCAGTTCCATGTAATTTTTTTTTGACTGACATCTGACGGCCACTTGTTGCATTCAGGGGTTAAGTTCTACAACTTTCAAAGAAATAATCCAATTTTAAACATAAAACATAATGTTTATGAATATTGTTAATTTTTAAAGATTTTGCATTTCCTATTCTACGGATCCTTAAATATCCCCATGAATACAGATGTCTCCTGATTTGTCGTGTACAGTACTTGTACACAATAGAACATGCTGTGGAAAATATCGCATATTATAGGTGTTAACCGATCTATGTAACTCTCTTATCTCTGCATGGTCTGATGGGGTTTTATTTTTTATCTAGGGGTTGGAATATTATACTACATATAATATATACACTGTTTATAATGCTAATCAACGTACAATTGGCCTTGTTAGCATCACTTTAAGCATATTAAATGTTTCATGTGTTTTCATTTACATAATTGTTAAAAATATTATTTTAAAATATACCGATTTGACTGCCTTATCCATACAAGTACAAGAAGTGGATCTCATGCTAATTTAAATTTTTCGTTTTGTACTCAAAACTATCAAAGGTTTATTGATTTCTTGAAGATTTTCACTTTTCCATGAGGTATTAGAATTGTTAATTATACGGTTTTATGAGATTCGAAACAATAGAAAATTATTTTGTACAATAATCTTTCCTATCCAGTTTATACTTTGTAGAGAGTCTTAATTGTTGTGAAGGAAAAAAAACATGTCTTTTCTTCAAAGATTATATTTGATTTGTATCTGTAAGAAATGACTAAATAATGTAGAATAGGCGACTCTCTTTTTGTATCTCATTAAAAACGTTTTAGCTACTCTAAACAGATTATATTTGTATCTAAAACTTTTTGATTTTACTGAAAACAATGTTTGATAATTCTAAAGGTTTGGGCTAATGATTAGCAAGTTGATTCTAAGAGAATATTAACCAGTACACAATGCTATTGTCATTTTCAATTAAACAAACACATTTTGTGGTCTTTTGTTTATTTTCCAGTCAAGATAACTAGATTGAATCTTATTTATTCATATTTATACATAAAAATTGTTTTGGTTTCCACCTTGGTCTTCATTTCCACCTTGGTCTTCGTTTCCATCTTGGTCTTCGTTTCCATCTTGCTCTTGGTTTCCAACTTGATCTTGGCTCCCAACTTGGTTTTGAGGATCATGAAGTTTGCTAAACAATTCAGCGTTCAGTGCAGTCAAATCATCTGATATGCTTTTAACATCAGCATCATTTCTGGTGTCCAGGTTGGGTAGCACAGTGCGCGCAAGACTATTTAACACTCCTACTAATTCCTCTACATTTGGTGGATACTTGCGGCCTGGCAATTTATCTGTAATTGCACCTAATTTTTCCGTTAGCTGTTGAATCTCAGCTTCAAGGTTAGCTCTTTGGGTGATTAAGTCAGGTAACTGATAATCACTACCATTATAAGAAAACTTATTGCCTAACAATTCATCTGTCACTGCAACTAGTCCATCTGTTAGGAGTAGAAGATCAGCTTCAAGGTTAGCTTTTTGGGTAGTTAACTGAAAGTCATTACCATGGATCTTATTCTTAGCAGTTTCTATCAGAAAAGATTTTCCAATGGTCTCTTCAAAAAAGTAAAAAATTAATTAGGAATATGAACATTTTGATTCTGCTTGATCCAGACAATAGCTTCATCATGTTTCTGGTTCAATGCTGCAGGGGGCGAAACAACAATTACCTAAAATTAGGGCTGGGCAATGTTATGTCAACAAACTTTTTGAAGAACAAATGTTCAGAAAATAAAATAAAGGATTAATGTTTTTTAAATAACGGTGACTTTTTTTGCTTAATATTGCATGAAAATTATCATTTAACGTTTTTTAATTTTGTCTTATAATTTTTCCCGCTATTTTTACGAGAAATAATTGGTGACAACTTGTTAACGGCTGCGGCTGATAACACTTCAAAAATATTTTACATATAACAGATAAGTGTAAAAAACTTAGATAGTCAAAGATTGTTAATTGTCAGAAAGAGCTGGAAATATTGTTAACAAATGGAACATAGAAATAAGTTAACTAGTTTAGCTACCTGAAAAGTTAGTCCATTCTGTTATTTTAACTATTTACTAACAAATGGTTTGAAAAAGTCTGAATATGCCCAGTTCTACCTTAATGCAAACATGTTTAGGTTTTTTAAAAAGGCGTTCTGTTAGTAATGCTTATGTAGTCCCGTTAATAACTAACTAAGCTTGATTTTTAATACTTTTACAATAAATACTAATTGAAGTTTAAACTACCATTATTAAATGTCTATGATTACATCTTTTTATCATTTTATAATTGGATAAAATTGCAATGTTTTAAAATGAATCTGAAATACTTGAAATCTTTTTAGCAATGGATATTTTTATTTTATGATTAAAAAACAAAAACAATTTTAAATACAAAAATAACAAGTTAAAATATATTTTATTAGTTTATTGATACTTTATATATATTTAAATAAAATGAAATAATATGTCAATTATGTGAATGTTAAAAATCTCTCTTTTGCAGTCGCAATGAACATTCTTGTTTTCTATTCAAGGAAAATTTAGCATACATTTTCAAATTCCACTAACACATTTGCCCCCATTGCCCCTAATTTGAAAAAATGCCCCCAATTAAAATTTTTTTTTTCAAAATGCTCTAACACATTTGCCCCCAATTTATAAAAAATGCCCCCAATTAAAAAAAACATTTTCA